AAATTTAATGAAACCCTTGTTTTATATACTGTGAAGTAGAGCCTATATCAATGAAATACCAAATGTACAGTTAATCCGGTACCGAGTTTCTTTCCAGGTCCTCTGCAGATTTAGTAATGGGAGAGAAATGTGTGTAAACTGAAACCAAGACCAACTGTGTACTCATTTCAGAGGCTAGAAGGAAAGTTTTGCTGTTTGCAGGCCTGTAGAGCAAAAGCTGCCTTTGTGACTGGGATATTCAAATATAATAAAATTGGGACCTTTATTTTGCTACACTTCTTAAAATCATTATGGCAGATATTTATCTTCTCTTTGCCATCTGTGTTTGTCATAAAGGGAATCAAAATGATCTTGTCCGTTTCCTGTTTAATGTGGCGTCTCTTTCCTTCGCTCAGGACCGTCTCACATGGATGCGTGTGTTGTGTAGGTGTCGATTAGCCAGTGGAACGCTTGCAGCGCAAAATATTTTTCTTTGATTGTCCTGCCCAAAGTATACTTCGTTTTTTAAAAATCAACAGTCGAATGCACAGCTGTTCAAAGTACTCTTTTTGATAGCATGCATGAACACAGGCGCTCGACGTGTGCAATAGAAAGATTCATATATCTCCAGTGTCTGCGCCATTTCTCTCCAAAAGTTAAGAGCGAATAGATATGTTTTAATCATCTCACACGAGCACTCATCAGCGCAGGCGTCTGCTGTTTCTGCTGGAGTTTTCAATAGTTTGTTGTTGTTCTTCGGTCTCATTTATTTTCCAAAATGTGAAACAGTGGCCCGGGCGTTTCCTATGGAAGCCTGTTTCAATCACAAAATAAACAAAATTATTTTCGACTTTTTGTCTCACATTTTGTATTTTGTATTTTTTTTCTGAAATTGTGGGATATAAACTTGCAACACATCTTGCAATTCCAAATTTGCATCTCACAATTTCAGATTTTTGAATTTGAATTGAATTTTTAAAATTCTGTTTTAACAGAATTGCAAGGTAATTGCAACTTTTTATAGTACATTTCTGATTTTTAGCTTACAATTTGGACTTCTCCGAATTGTGAATTTATATCTTGCAGATTTTTTTATACAGAGCTGCAAGGTAATTACAACTTTATATCTCACAATTCAGACTTCTTAGAAATGTGAGTTTATATCTTGCAATTATGAGTTGACATCTTGTCTTTTTTTTCAGAATTGTGAATTTTTACAATTCTGCATTTATATCTTGCAATTCTGTTTTTTTAACACTCAATTCTGACTTCTCAGAATTGTGAGTGATGAACTCGCAATTATGAGTAAACTTGAAATTGTGAATTTTTGTTTTGTCAGGATTGCACATTTTTTTCATAGTTATTTTTCACAGAGATATATCATTCTTTTATCTCACAATTCTGACTTTTATTTCTTGCATATGGCAACTCTATCTCACAACTCTGTCTTGAGAATTGTGAATTCATCTCGCAATTGTGACTTTTCTCAGAATTGCACATTTAAATCTCTCAATTCAGATTTTCCCCTTCGATTCCTGAGTGTACGTCTCTTAATTCATTTTTTTACTTTTTTTTTTCTTAGGATTGTGCGATGAAAGTTGCAATTAACTTTTTTTCTGGGTTTCCATCTTGTGGATAAACTAGTGCAAAAAAATCTATATTGAAGTGCATGTGCGAGCTGTGAGAATATTACTTGTGCGGTTGGAAAACTTGGGCTGTGTATGCGGTTGCATATGATGACTTTCTCGTCACGTACTTTACACGTACCCTAGCGTATGCGTAAAAACCGAAGTATACTTTGGGCTCTGTGGTCCCTGTTATATGATGAATTATTACATTACAGGGACCCTTTTAAACTCTAGGCTGCTTATATCAACTTTACAAAACCCTGAAGGCATATAACAGTGTTAAATTTTCTCCCAAACATTTGCTTTTACAAACAGAAGGCGGTTTAAATGATTGTTCCTCTTACGTTGTTAGTATGTGCTGCTCTTGTAGTTTGTCCAGAGAGTCTACGTTAGAAATAAAAATGTAAATGTGTTGTTACCCCTTATCTGCTCAATAACCCTCCTGTCACGTTTGCATTCACTGTCTTTATCTGCTTCCACACAATCTCTGTACTAAAGCACATCAGTTGGTGTAAGTCTTGTTCAACCCGTTGTCTTAATTTTATTTCCTTTTTATTTGCAAGGGTACATGTGTGTGCGTGTGCTTTATAATGTGTTTGAAGGGGCTCGTGTGCACAAACGGATGCTGTGCTGCTGCTGTGTGGCAGTAGACGGTGGCTCCAGGCCTGGGATTTTTCCGGATGCTTTTATAACCACGTGGAGCGCATTGGGATTGGGACCAGCACCTCTTACAGAGAATGAGCATTGATGAAAAGAAGCTAAAACATCTGTATATTTATTGTTGTAAATCACTACAAATAAGAAAGTCCTTGATGAGTTGTCAACAATGTTTTAATATTGCAAGTGATGGTAGATGAGCAATAATCTGTTATGTTGAAGAACAAAAATAAAAATCCCAAATAGAAACATTTTTTGCAGGCATACCGACTGCGCTATAATTTGTTTTGCGTCAAATCAGGTTATTACTTAAGTAGTCTATATCATATTGTTTATATTTGTTTTTTTCCTTTAAAAAAAAAAGTCATTTACAATAAAGAACACAAATCCCTGTTTAAAGGGATGTTTAAAAGGTACACAAATGCTAAAAGTATAATATTTAAGTTTTTATACTTTCATTTTATGTAATTTAGTTTGGTCATTTTTATTAGATTTTTGTTTAATTAAAAAAAGTTTTTTATTTTGTTTATAAATATATATTTTAAATATTTTAGTACATCAAGTTAAACAAAAAGGAGAAATGTCTTAAATATTAAAAAAAAAAATATATATATATATATATATATATTTTTTATTTCAAGTAATGACATTTTTTAATGATTTTTATGGTTTTGGTTTTAATTAACTTTAATATCCCTTGCTTGATTATTCATGCTATCCAGTCTTTGAAGGTCTGATGAGGAGACTTTGTTTGTAGACCGCGACTGAGCGCTCAGCATCTGCTGGCCTGTCATTTCAGGTACAATTTACAGTCACTATCCTTTAGGAGATTTTAAATACTACCTGCGGGCATCCCAGTATGTTGATGAATTAACCTGTTATGATGCCTTTAGGAAAGTGTCTCAAATTTTAACTTGGCCGCTACCTAAAAAATAAGGTATTTAAATGCTATTCTTGGTGTGCTTAGTCACTTTGTATATTCCTGGACACTGAGGTCATGGACCGGAGGTGTAATTGGACAGTGTAAACGGTGGGTGTTTATTCTGGACACATGATGGTTTGAGGGGTATGTATGTACAGTATCTCACAGAACTGAGTACACCCCTCAAATTTTGTATTTTATATCTTTTCATGTGACAACACAGAAGAAATTACACTTGCTACAATGTAAAGTAGTGAGTGTACAGCTTGTATAACTGTAAATTTGCTGTCCCCTCAAAATAACTCCACGCACAGCTATTAATGTCTAAACTGCTGGCCACAAAAGTGAGTACACCCCTAAGTGAAAATGTCCAAATTGGGCCCAAAGTGTCAATATTTTGTGTGGCCACCATTATTTTCTAGCACTGCCTTAACCCTCTTGGGCATGGAGTTCACCAGAGCTTCACAGGTTGCCACTGGAGTCCTCTTCTGTGTAGCAAAGTGTAAGTTCTTCAGTGTTGTCACATGAAAAGATATAATAAAATATTTACAAAAATGTGAGGGGTGTACTCCTGTGAGATACTGTATGCAAAGACAAGAACAGCTACTGTTGTCACTCAGGTTACATGTACAAACACACTCAAAAGCTGAGAGTCACTGTCTTCACTCTGACCTGTTACATATGACTGTCCTCAAATTCAAGCCTTACAAGGATACTTATGTTTAATCATTTGCTAAAAGTGTAATATGATAAACATTGCAGTTGTCAAGATTATATTTTTTCATATTTCTATCTCAGATCTTCTGAGAATGTCTGAACAAATTAAAGTCTGTCCAGTTTCTTGTGGGCATCTTTCACACTTTCAAATTAAAATGTTTGTTGAAGTGTCATTCCCGTTTGACTTGACTTGTATGTGAAGACACCACCACAACAAACATCTCAATAAGTCACTGTGTTCAGAGTATGGTCTGTCAAAAAACGTCACAATGTGGCTCTTTCTAGATCAGGAGAAAACTCAATGTGTTCTTTCTGTTCCTCAATGTGAATAATAGCACTTTGTATCACAACAGAACAATGACAGCACTTTCTAAAGGCCATACATGATCGGTGATTTTATTTTAATGAATTTGTCTATATCTGGTATTTCTTCACCTATGAGTGTTTGTGTTTATTATTTATTTCAGTTGCAGTTTTTTTATAAGTACATCAACTTAAATTAAATGAAAATGAGAAATATCTTAAATATTGAATAAAAAAAATTGTATGAAAATATTTTAATTGCATTATATATTGATATATTATATACATAAACATTTATAATTTATAAATATAATATGTATATATTATAAATGTTTATATATATATATATATACATTTTCATACTCAAGATTTAATTTTCAGATGGAAAGTTTTTATAAATAATTTTCATGTAAAGCTGGAATTTCATGTAAATTAATATACAATAAGAAGGTAAATGGTAAGGGAATATTTTTATGTGATTTTCATATGACATCAACAATAAAGAATATTTGATTTGATTTTATAAAAACAACCCCTGGGAAGCTGTATTGCAGTGATTGCACACTCCCAGATATAAAAGAATGCAGAATGTTACAGTTCATTATTACATGTTTTGCAGCGACTAAAATGAACATTTATTACAATTATGAGAGAAATACAGGCAATTTATATGTAATAGCACCTGCATATGCGTGGTCAAGTGCTGTGTGGGCGTGGCTACATCAAACGTCAAACCACGCCCTCATCGGCGAGCAGCAGCCAATCAGAGCGGCGGGGACGAATATTAGTCTGAACTTGGAGTCCAGCAGCGTCTGCTCCAGTGTGACGGTGTATTTCCGAGCGGCGAGCAGCTCCTCAGCCTGACAGATGCAGCAGCAGACCGACGACATGGAGGTACCTTTACTTAATGATTCTAACAGTAACAGACAGAAGTCTCTGGCTCAAGAGAGAGATGGGTTCAGCCATCCGCAGAAGGATTCGGAGGTAATCCGAGCGCACTGACAGTTTGCAGGGGTAGAGGGGCGCGCGTGCGCGCGCGCGCGCGTGTGTGTGTGTGTGTGTGTGTGTGTGTGTGTGTGTGGTAATCCGAGCACACTGACAGTTTGCAGGGGTAGAGGGGCGCGCGTGCGTGTGTGTGTGTGTGTAAGGTGGCTTGTTGCTGGGGGCTTTAAATGCCTCGAGTTGTTATTTTAGAAACATGCATGGCGCTAAAAATACCTTGTCTTTAGGAATTTGATCCAGTGTGACCTGCTGATGGTTTTATAGAGGATATAGACGTGCATGCATTTGAAGGGTAAAAATGAAGAATGCATTTGTTTCTGTCTTGAATTCCCACTTCTTACACTGTATATGGATATATGCACATGCGCATATTAAATGCTGAGCGTGTATGCATTTGGCTCATTTCATCTACATGTGTATTCCTCACATTAACCCGTCACTGTCAGTAGGCACACATTCCTATGCATTCTAATACGTATTCAAAACCAGTTATTTATTAAGCTTGATATCAGCCTGATATTATGGAATATACATTGTTATATTGGGGGTTAAGAGGGTCAATAATATACAGTCTGCTGCAGGTTTATTTATTTTCATTTAAATTTATTTAAAAGAAGCAGTGGTTTATTTCTATCTATCTATCTATCTATCTATCTATCTATCTATCTATCTATCTATCTATCTATCTATCTATCTATCTGTCTGTCTGTCTCTATTTATCCATGAGTGAACTGAACTGGAGTGGTAAAGACTGCACACTAATGTACTCATTGCTCTCTCAAACATATGAACTTCTTATTTATTCAATCATTAAAAATAAAAGCAAGCAAATGCATGTTTTGATTCTCTTCTTGGCACAGCGCAGCCCAGATTCGGTCTTCAAGGACAGTAACACATATTGTGCTGGGAATATGTCCAGCCTAGTGAAGTTATGGGAATGAATTCCTCGACCGTGATCGTTGAGCATATTGAATGTTTTTTTTTTTTGTTTTGTTTTTTTAGAGGAATTAGAGCGTGTTTTCCTGCTGCAGCAGATTTTTTTCTAGGACAGTGATGGGGAGGCGGATTGAATGTACACAAAATGCCTCAAAATGTTGTGCATGGCTGGAGTTTATGACCAGGAGTGAAACTCAAAGGTCAGATATGTGAGTGATCTGTCATTAAACCAGAATATACTGAATGTGAAGCTCTGTGTTTTGTCTTTAGTGCATGGTGATTAATTATTGCATCTGGCTGCATTAAATGAGTAATGAATATTAAATGCTGAATATAGACGGGATCTTTTAGTATTTGGTCCAGTAGCTCAGGGTTGGCACAGGGCACATTGTGCATGCCCTGTTTTGAGCTTTGGGATTTACAGATTATTCCAGTTAGTTTCATAGGATAGAAAAGCATGCAACTCTTGTTCAGCTGCTCATTGTTATGGTTTGGTTGAGCTTAGAGCTGAACTTTGGACTTTAGATTTGATTTTAAATTTGTTGTGAAAGTACTCTATAATGTATGGAAAAATGAAATGTTAAGCCTGACATATGAAATAATACTCCGAAAAAAAAATCATGTTTCTTTTCATGCTTTTATGGCTCATGTATATGGTACCGGAGAATATGAAGCTTAAAAACACCGTTTTTTTTCAGGGGTACAAACTGAGCAAAAATATGCCTTCTCACCATGAGTATCAATGCCATCTGCTTCTGAGGACCAAAATAAAATGCTTCTGAATGTGCCACACATGTCTGTGAGTTAGGAGGGAGAGAGAGACTGAGAGAGTAGGGTAAATCATTAGTTTAGTGTGCACATGCATACATAAAATCTACGCACATGCATTGTGCATAAAGTATGTGCATTATGATGAGAATGTGCATGTAAAATTTTCTCACATTCATTATACAATGTATTTTTTGCATTAATTTTCTAATTTATAAAAAATACTAAAAATATAAGTAATAAATATAATTAAAAATCAATTATTTAAAACTCATTATGATGAGAATGTGCATGTAAAATTTTCTCACATTCATTATACAATGTATTTTTTGCATTAATTTTCTAATTTATAAAAAATACTAAAAATATAAGTAATAAATATAATTAAAAATCAATTATTTAAAACTTTTTGTAAGGGGCAGAGAGCAAGCATAATTCTGCATTTTGGCTATTTTTATTGTGGTTATGAAAAGTACTTTTTGTGAGGTCACGAAGTAATAAAAAAATACTGTTTTAACTCTATTTTGGCTTTGTTTAAAGTATTGTAAGAGTTTATTGTGAGATCAGTATCATTTATCCAACCAAATTGTGGCACGAGTGTATTGTTACCATCTTAATTAAAATGTCAATGTTAAAATAAAAATAGTTTTATTTCTAATCACAAATTTATAGATAAAAACGATTGGTCTGATGGTCTGATGATTGGACTTATTTTAAAGGGTTAGTTCACCCAAAAATGAAAATTCTGTCATTAATTACTCACCCTCGTGTTGTTCTAAACCTGTAAGACCTTCGTTCAACTTCGGAACACAATTTAAGATATTTTTGATGAAATATGAGGGCTCTCTGACCCTCCCATAGACAGCAAGGTAACTACCACGCTGGGAGCACGTTCGCGACAGTAATGAGGTAATCATGCCGGATCTGGGTCAGCTTTTCTGGACCTTGAACGTGGTAGTTACCTTGCTGTCTATGGGAGGGTCAGGGAGCCCTCAGATTTCATCAAAAATATCTTAAATTGTGTTCCGAAGATGAACGAAGGTCTTACAGGTTTGGAACAACACGAGGGTGAGTAATTAATGACAGAATTTTCATTTTGGGGTGAACTAACCCTTTAAGTTTCTTTGATTGGCCACTGCCTGTGAAGTCATTTTAGCTTATAGCTGTCAAAAGAACGAGTATAAGCTTCCCAAAGAGGTTAGCGATACAGTAAAACGAAAGCATAAAATGGAGGCGAAATCAAACCACCCAGACATTACCTAGCAAAGGCTATCCATCAGAACTCTCTGAGAAGGGGACTTGTTTGAGAAAGTAGAGAGAGGTCAACAATCACTTTGAAAAAGTACAGAGTTCAAGATATGAGAACTGAGTCCACCAGTATCAAGAGCTCTTTCAGTATCATTGTCCACCAGTATCAAGAGCTCTTTCAGTATCATTGAGCCGTGCATTATGGGTGGGTGGCAAAAGAGGCCATTACTCAAAAAGAAACCATTTGAAAGCACATAAGAGGTTTGCCAAAAAGCATAATAGTGGGTATCCCATTTGGGATGGTTTTGAGGTCAGATGACTCCTTAATAGAGCTTTTGGGCAAAATTCAAAGTGATATGTGTGGGACAAGTCTGACACGGCCCACAAAAATAACTGCATGATGGTGCAAAATACAGGGAGATACTGCAAGAAAGCTGCCTGCTAAAACAGCTTGAGAGAAAGTCTAACAGAACAGTGAGGCCAAATTAACTGCAACAAGGTGAATGTCCTGCAGAAGCGCTTAATCTTTAAATGAATAGGCACTTGAGCAAGAGAACCTGGTCCTCAGGGGGAACGAAGAAAGTTCATCTTCAACATTATGCTTCGTACGTAATTTATTCTTCAACTGACAGCACAGAGCGTGTTCCCCAGATGTTAATTGGGCTGCAATTAAATCAAAACGCCTCCGAGGACCTGACACTTCTTCATTTCAGGCAGACTGTGAAAGAAAAGCCTGGAAATCCATGTTTGGCTCAGGGTTTTAGAGGCTGTTTAGGGACATTAGCATACAGTAGATCAGCACTGATGTTTTGAAACCATTAACACTACGTTTGAGTGTGAATGTTCACGCTTTAGTAGCTCTTTGAGAGAGCTGGCTAAAAGACATGTGGCTGTTCTTAAGCATAAGCGCAGACTTGGCCAACAGTCAGCAGTCATTTATGCAGGAAGTATCCTTTTAGGTGGACACACACTGGAAACCCTGCAGCCTTGCTTCCTGTTACCATGACACACTGTGGGTCAGGGAAAAATCGGTGGAATTTACCGTAAAAAGTTGCCATCCCAGAACTTTGCTGTAAAAAGAACAATAATTGATGGACATTAATTTATAAGATGTGGCATAAAAAGCTAATATACATACTGTAACTGATAACATAATACTAAGGAGCATAATTATTTAATGAAAAACCATCAAGTCAGATGTTACAGGGAATGTCAGTTTAAAGTTTTACATTGTAAGGTGACTTTTCTTTTTTAAATATCTTGTTTTCCACCTGTATGTAATTAAAATAATATACAGTGGGTATGGAAAGTATTCAGACCCCCTTACTATTATTAAAGAACGTTTTTCATATATAATACTGAAAGTGTTAGCAGTGAACAGTTACAAACTCTTCATCTCTCAAGTTTGTTTATAGGCAATATTATCCCAAAAAGCATGTACAGAACTTACAAAATCCACAAAAATACAGCATCAAGTTGCTATTTTCAGTGTACTATAATTTGAGATACATTTCACATATTATTTTAGGATGTATGTGTATGTTTTAATGGTTACTTATTTGTAATTTCCGAGCACATGTGAGGTACAGTGGTGATCGAAATGGTAGTTAATTCATGCTGAAATATTGCCACCCTTATTTTCTCTACATTTCCCAAGCTATTGTCATTGAAGTACTAGAGTAGTGTGACCTGGCTGAATTTGCATAATTACGAGGAAAATCACGTGCTGCAGAAATGGTGAAAAGACCTGAAATGCGGTTGGCAAGTGCTCCAGGATGTTAAAGTTTTCTATTGTGGCAGTGCAGTTATTATTTGCCTCTGATCCGCAGGGGTCCATGGAGTCCCCGAATCTGGAGTTTGAATATGGAGACACGGACAACTTCACTGCAGAGCTCTCAGGTGGGTTTTACACACACACACACACACACACACACACACACAGAAAAGAACTTAGATCTGTTCAACCATAGCTTTTTAAATAAAATCAATAGAAATTCATAGAAGATTAGATGTGCATTATGCATATTTACTGATGTCATTTTAATGTTGCAACATGTAACATGCCAGTTGATGTTTAATGAATCTATATTACTATGAAAAACCAATGTTATGTGCTTGGTTTTATTTAACTATATCTCTTTCTGTCTCTTTTGCACAGAGCTGTACAGCTACACAGAGGAACCAGAGTTTAGTCTAAACAGGGATTACTTTGAGGAAGACTTCAAGAATCATGGTAATGTCGCCTCCAGTGCTATATTATAACAAAATAAATATTTTCGTAATTAGTACTTTTGGTATTAATTTCCAGTATAAATCTTAAAACATACTTGAAATGGAATTAATTTACTTCAGAAACAAATTTCTGAAAATACGTTTATTTTTCTCACCACGCTGGATTTTTTTTTAAAGCAAAAACCTCTCTAAATTTTGAATTCATATTTAGAATGAGAGAAAAAATGGCCAATTTGAGTAAGAAAAACTAATTCTAAAACAAAAAATACTTGATTAAATATATGTACTCTACAAACAATTGTTGTGATCCTACAGTTTTGCTTCTTTAATTTTAAGCATGTTTAGATATTTTTTTGAATAGAAAACAAGAGAAAATCTCTTTATTTGCAGTGCCTCTTCACCCAACACACTACTATAGTGCTTAAGAACTGTTGAGTTTTGTGCTGGAATTGCATTGTGTTTAAGAGTGAGACATTGCTTGGAGTCCTGGTGGTGTGGACGTGCTGATTAACGCTCCCCAGTATAACATTTCCACCCGTGTCTTAGAGAGAACAGAAATAAACCGTCAGCAAAGTTGTGCAGTTCTCTTTCTGTGAGAAAAGGAGAACTTTAATGAATGTTTATGTCGTTCCAGTGTGTGTATAGCCTCAGGCTTTACCCTGCCTGCTGTGTGCACAGTCTCACCTCGCCAGACCTCTCGCTCTCTCTGTGTGTTTGCCATGGCACTGCAGCCCTTCAAAATGGTGAAAAGCCAAGAGGCTGGATCACCAATGTTACGTTCGCTTTTTGATTGTGAAGCAACTGCAAATCACATGTTTACACTTTTAAAAGTTTGCTGCCATCCAAGGGGTTCATATATTTTTTTTGTTCATTTTCTCCTGGTGTCCACTTATAATGTAACACTGCAATTTTTCACTGTCTCTCTCTCAGACTCTCAGATTTTATGCTGCTGTGCCTTTTAAAGGAATAGTTGACCCAAAAATTAATATTTGCTTAAAATGTACTCACCATCAGGCCATCCATCAGGCCATGAATGACCTCTGTGATTTAATTTTACACATGCCTTCCACTAAAAAGACTTGAGGCTTTACAGCAGAAATCCTCACAAACTCTCGAAGCCTATGGCAGATATTTTACCAATATTCAGAGAGAGGTTTGTACAGTAATTTGCATTCATACGTCATGTGGTTGAGTAACAGTTTTGACTGAAAGAGAAGAGAGGTCAGTGAAGTGATTGAGTGTTTCATGTGTGCCGCCCCTTTCACGGGTATTTGAGCAACACAAATCCTGACTAATCTTTCTCACGTGTGAGAAGTGAAACCAGTAGAAGAATGGCAGAAATGATTACCATGGACAGAGACATAATTCTTCTGTGCTCCGCTCTCAGTGAAGGGTCGGAGGTGGATGGAGTTGAGTATGGAGGAGCAGAGGGCGTATGTCATGAGACTGCTGGACGCTCTGGAGGTCACCGATCGAGACAAGAGGCTCAAAGTGGCCCGAGCCATTCTCTATTTGGCACAAGGTACAAATATAATACATAAAACCATAATTCAGTGGGTGAATCTCCTGAAACCAGTCAACAACATACTTCATAGAGGAAGGAAATAATGAAATATATTATGAGAAATTAAGTCTATTTTAGGATCATTAAGATATTTTGCAGCACATGCAACTTGTTTATTTTTTTTATATTTATGTTATCTATAATTTATTATATTTCAAGAATTATTAAGCACATTTGCCCTAGTTCTCATTACTTTAATGATGTATTATTTAATTTGTAATGTCATTTTTAGAACTGCCCTTAATTTATGCATATTTAACTTTTTAATAATAATTCTGTATAGCAGTATTTGTTTTTAGTAAACATTAAAAATATGTAAAACTATCAAATATTATATGCTATAATGAGAATGATAAAATGTTAACTATAAAACATTATATGCTATAATGAGAATCTTCATTGTGCATTATGGTAATGAGAACTTGGACCTTAATGTGCTTAAGTGGCATGAAAATAATGTTTTAAGAAAAATTTAATTTCTTATTTTTGCAAATTTAAATATAAAATGTGTTGCAGTTTTTGTTTTGGTAAAAATATTTTAAAAAGACAGAAATATATAAAACAATAAAATATGACTATTACAAAAATGAGAATCATTATTGAGCGTTTTTGTAATGTGTATTTGGACTTTAATAATTGGCATGAAGATAATGTTATCTCTTAAGAAAATATTTTCTTTTTATTTATTTTCTATTTTTTCTTTTTAATTTAATTTAGTACTTCCTTTAATTTATGCATATTTAAATTTATTTGATAAGAAATAATGTATTGCACAATTTGTTTTTTTATAAAAAATATATATATAAAAAAGTGAAACAATAAAATATGAAACATTGAGCATTATGGTAATTTGAATTTGGACATAAACATGCTAAATTGGCATGAATTTTTTGTTTTTAATTATTGGTCCTTAAAATAGTCTTTCCTTAAGCAAAATATAATTTCTTTTTTCTTATGTATTCAGGTGTGTTTGATGAGTGTGACACAGAAACTGATGTCCTCTACTGGTCCAGACACAACGTCTTCCTCCTCTACGACATGGGCATCTTCACGGCTCTGCTGGAGCTCCTCAGCATGGAGATAGAGTGAGTGTTTTCATTTCCCCAAATGCCTCAGTCTCTGTGTGGAGATCTTTGACAGAGGGCAGGCGAGGACAGACAGGCGAAGGGTGAGATACTGAAAGAGACAGACAGAGACTGAATCTCTAGCGGAGGGAAGTGTTTAACAGTGCTGCTATACAGGTGCATCTCAATCAATTAGAATGTCAGTTTGTGGCACTGCTGAGGTGGTATGGAAGCCCAGGTTTCTTTGACAGTGGCCTTCAGCTCATCTGCATATTTTGGTCTCTTGTTTCTCATTTTCCTCTTGACAATACCCCATTGATTCTCTATTCAGGTCTGGTGAGTTTGCTGGCCCTTCTCCTGAGGGAGCAGGTTAGAAACGGCTCAGTCATGACTGTGAATGTGTGTGTGTGAAACAGTTGTGTATTTCTGTGGATCTCCTGGGTGCTGTACTACTGAGACGAACGGCTTTCTCTTTTCTGTTTCTTAATGCCCGCCATGTACAGTAGCAGCTGCCTGGGCAGCACAGCGAGCCACTTCTCCATTTCTCTAATTACCTACATTAAGTACACTTCCATGTTAATGGATCTCTTTATTTTGTTCAGAGAGTGATTATCAGTGCAATCAGATTTCACTCTTATTATTGCACATACTGTACCAACATAAAAATGAACGTGCAAAAAACTACTCCGAACACATTAGCAACCACATAGCAAATGGCCTGGCACCCATTCATTATACCTTAGGATTTTGGTGGCAACTTCTGCATGCGCAATTAAGAAAATGTAAAAACCTACTGTATTTTTGGAAAATTTGTCATACCCGACTGTAAGTCACACCAGGTCAAAATTGCATTGTTAAGAGAAAAAAAAATCATCACATTTCAGAAAAAATAAATATATAAACGAAATGCTTAAAAAATATTAGAAACACTATAAAAATGTATTTTAGCTCTCTTCACTACACGTCCTTTAAATTTAACTGTATTTAGAACAGAGAAATTGTAGTGCCATTCAGTATTATTTTTGTATCATTAAGATGATATTATTGATTTTATTCTTTGTTTTTGTTATCGTTTTAATTCTGTTTTTTTTTTTTTCATTTTTGTATTAGTTATTTTTTTCCTTTAAATTTAACTGTATTTAGAACAGAGAAATTGTAGTGCCATTCAGTATTATTTTTGTATCATTAAGATGATATTATTGATTTTATTCTTTATGTTTTTGTTATCGTTTTAATTCTGTTTTTTTTTTTTTCATTTTTGTATTAGTTATTTTTTTTAAATTATTTTACTTTTTTTTATTTAAGTTTTACTTTTTTGTACATCAAGTTGAATTAAAGTTAAAATTAATTGGTGATTATATATCTTTTTAAATATTTTATTTTACTTCAGTTATTATTTTACTTCAAGTAGCAGAATTGTTTTATGGTTTTTAGATTTAGTTAACTATAATAACGTTGGTGGTTTATTCATTATAAACAAAATTTATTATAAACCATAAAACTGAAAAAGCAAAACTGAAACCACTGGTGTGTGGGAAATGTGTTATTAAAATAAACATTGCACATGTTTTGCATGCTTCACGTTAATTATATTAATGTGAAGCATGAAAAACATGATATAAGTCAACTTTATATAGGTCGCTTTGGAATAGTTGCAGTTGCAGATGATTAAAAAACATTACTTATGTTGCAGAAAATATAATAGCTTACATTTAATATATGAAACTTATATCAGTCCATCATATTATTTTGTGTGCTTGACATTGGCATTGTATAAATCGCTTTGGAATATAAATCACAGCACATTAAAAAAAAAAAAAAAAAAAAAAAAACGTGATTTTTTAAATTTATTTATTTATTACAATAGAGTTCTATTTTTTAACATTAGGAAACTTCATTACTTAAACTAAGAATGGAAAATACTTCTAAACCATTTATTAATCTTTGTTAATATTAATAATAATATGAATTAACATTTATTTATTCATTATTAAAATCAAAAGTTGTATGTTCATATTATTTAATGGACCTGAGATAACATGAAATACCAATAAACCGTTTTGTATTTATTAACTGACATTAAAGATTAATACATACTGTAACAAATGTATTGCTCATTGTTGGTTAATGTTACTTAATGCATTAACTAATGTTTTTCTAATGGGAACTTACTGTAAAGTGCTACCCTTATTTTAGTACATAAAGTTAAACTAAATGAAAATGAGAAATTTTTCCTTGGCATCTACCTAAAATAAATTCTGTTTTGATACTTAAAAAAAAATTTGTTTCAGTTAACGTTTATTTTATTACATGTAACGTACATGGTTTTATTGTTTTAGTTTTGCTTAACTAGTAACCCTGGTCTTTTGGTGCAGTTGTAACGTAAGGATGTCCTCTTACATGTGCATTGATATTTTGATTTAGTATCATTCCCTTTTTCTCCAGTAATAACCAGGCGTGCAGCAGCGCAGTGAGAAAACCAGCCATTTCTCTGGCTGACAGCACTGAACTCAGGTAAGATGCCCACTGGGACTGATTCGTTTTTTTTCATTAGACTTCACTTCATCCACTTCTCAGATTTACATTAAATTTGGTGTGGAGGAACCCTGGGCAGACAGAGAGCTTTCATGTCTTTGAGTGCTTTGCATCAATGCACAATACATATATATATATATGAATGTTGTTTTCCTGATTATTGAAGGATAATACTTGCCCTTGGTTACAATACACAAAGACTCACTCTCGTACTAACACACACACTTACACTCAATAACTCCGATTGAAAGTAAAGGCGTTTGCATCATGTTCTGAAGGGTTCTTCTGAGCATCATGTATCTGATGGTCGAGACCATTCGAGTGGAAATGGAGGGTGACAGTCCTGAGAGGAAGGCAGCCAGAGAGGCCTTTAAAACAGAGTTGGGTGAGAGAGACTGTGAGAGAACGGTGTGGCCTTTAGTCTTACAGATATACAGTGTGTGTGTGTGTGTGTGTGTGTGTGTGTGTGTGTGTGTGTGTATTTGCAGTGGGTGGCTGTTCCCCCTCTCTTTTAAAATATGATTTATTTCTGTGAAGCAAAGCTGCATTTTCAAGATCATTACTCTAGTCTTCAGTGTTACATGATCCATCAGAAATCATTCTAATATGCTGATTTATTATCAGTGTTGGAAACCGTTGTGCTGCTTAATATTTTTTGGAACCTGTGATACTTTATTCAGGATTCTTTGATTAATAAAAAGAGAATTTTATTCAAAATGAAAATCTTTTCTATCTGCCTTTTTTCAATTTAACACATCCCTGTTAAATAAAAGTATTAATTTCTTTCAAAAAAAGAACACTTTTTTTTTTTTACTGAGCCCTAACTTTTAAACTGTATATTAACTGTGTATATAAGTGTATGTTGTTACAAAAGATTTCTGTTTTAAATAAACTTTTTATTAATCAAAGAATCCTAAAAAAAAAGTATCACTGATTCCAACAACAAAAAAAAAATTTCTGAAGGATCATGTGACACTGGAGTAATTTTGCTGAAAATGTAATGAAATGCAAAGCTTCACAGGAATAAATATAATAATATAGGGAATATACTTTAAATTATATATGTATATGTATCAGCTTTAATGCACTTGTCAAAATAAAAAAAAGCAGTCAAAGTTTTTAATGACAAAAATAAGTATTTGGTATGTGTTATTTAATGTACAGTCTGCAACAGAGTGGAAAAAGTGGTAGTAAAGTCTTCAGAAGCATTCAGACATGTGAAAATTTGAAAAATAGTTGTAACCTGGCTTTATGGCAGTTTTTCTGGTGATTTAAGGGATAATACAGGACGTCTTCACCATGCAAATGGTTGTCGAAAGCAAAAATCTTATGAAATACATCAGGTTTTGTAGCAAAACAGCCACTATTTTTGAAATCAACAGCCCAAAATTAGTAAGAAATAGTACTGGATTTCATTCAGTGAATATGATGCAGGGTGGTGTTATACTAATATGACAGCCCACACAGCCTGCAAAACATACACAAGCTTTAAAATAAACACACCAAACGGACTTCATGCCACACTTCTAACATTGCAACGGTCATGTCACAATGAGAATGAAATGATTGGCCGGACAACATCGTGGACCAATCACAGCAGGTTTCACAGTTTTTCTCCTTCCTGTCTCACTCTGTCTCTGTAAGTTTTCTGTAACTCTTTCTCCTCATCTCTCCCTCTTTTCTCTCTGGGTTTTCGTTGTCCTGTTGGCTCATTCCCATCTCTTCCTTGTGTCCCTACAGAGTGCCTTTGTTGATAGCTTGGAAGGAGACAGTCCATATGCCAAGAAACAGGTCTTTACCCCAAACCCCTTTTGTGCATTCTCTTTGTTGTGGGCTGGCCTTGCACTCCTTCACTCTCTTTTCCTTCACAGCAATTTGTTTTTCATTTGAAACTTGATTTGGGGAAGGGTTCTGAGAGATACAGCTGGCCATGGACATGAGCAAGACTCTCTATCTCTCTCTCTCCTCCTATCTTTCCATTTGCACATCTTTCCACATATTCTCAGTCAATGAGATCCACATAGACACACTCCGGCTCCCACTAGCTAGCAGAATGGCTTCTTCTCATAGGCAACCAATCACAGCTGAGTCACCTCTGCTCATGGCCTTTAGTATCGTCCACAGACACACTCATACATTGACTGCACTGGAACCAATGATGGCGCTCCACTAATGCACCTCATGCCTGATGCTTGCTCTGAATCTTGCCATTCATGCGTTTGCACAACACTAGAGATGTGAAGAATTTGGTTTTTGTGCCTTTGTTGAACTGAATCTGCACAGGATTGTTAAAAAAGAAGCTGCAGTGTTGTCCCCAAAATTGGATTGAACGTTTTTTTGATGCTTATCCTTTGCAGGTTTATGGAACAGTAAGTTTCAGGAATAAACTCTAAGCAATGGATGGGGAACGTAATCTGAAGGCTAAAATAGCAGAAGAACCTGCAGAAAAAACCCTGATAAGAGTCTCATTCATGCAAAACCTCACATACAGGAGGCTTCAATTTGGTCATTTCAGAAAAATAATTTAAAGAAAAATATTAAAGAATGAAACCAAACATCTTTCACACCATATAAATTCTATATTTTCAAATCTTAAAGGGATAGTCCACCAAAAAATTAACATTTTGTCTTCATTTACTCATCCTCAAGTTGTTCCAAACCTGAATTTCTTTCTTCCGTTGAACACAAAAGATATTTTGAAGAATGTTGGTTACCAAACCGTAGCCATTGACTTCCATATTTTTTCCATAATATAGAAGTCAGTGGCTACCAACTGCTCCAAACATATAGGTTTGGAACAGCACGAGAGTGAGTAAATAATGACAGAATGTTCATTTTTGGTTGAACTATCCTTTTTAGTTATCAAGTCAAGTCGAGCTTTATTGTCATTATGAATTTGGGCTTTCTTAATGAGACTCAACATCAGGCTCCAGAGTAATATATACATTTGCAACTTGATCTTAAACTCTTTCTCCCTCTCTTGCAGCCACTGGTCAAACAGGACAGTCTGGACACTTACAACGAACGAGACCCTTTCAAAAACGATGATGTGCGGGATGAGGAAGATGACCCAGAGGACATGGACAGTGGCATTGAGGGAGAGGTCGACCCTCTCGACAGAGACGTTATTATCCAACCGCCGCTGCCGCCACCACTACTGCGGCCACCAACCGAGAGACTGTCCTTCCCCAAGGGACTGCCATGGGCTCCCAAAGTCAGGTAGTGTACAGGGTTTTTATCAAATGTAATGGCCATAAACTGTGCTATTTTGACTTGTTTCAGAGATCTGGGGTCTCATTTATAAACTGTACACCTTGTCACACAGCAGCTTTTAGGCATTTTTCAGTTTTTTGTTATAAGTCAGAAATGACAAGGAGGAAGCTTCCCTCAATACAAAGTCAACGGAGAGGGTTGGATTGCCCCCCCCCCTGGTGTGGGCGTGGCCTAAATGCACTGTCGCTATGCATGGAAATATGCAGATGAGGTTATGCATAGTAAAAAAAGGGCATTGCAAGCTCCATATATGGTGATTTCGGGGAGGAGACGGGGTGAAGATGCACGTATGCACAATTTTCCCCTGACTGGGATTTATAAAGGGATTTTTGCACAGGTTCTGGCGTACACCTGGTTTTATAAATCGGAAAACCTTTGCGCGTACGCAAAATCTAGCTTTTGTCAAGTCAAGTCAAGTCACCTTTATTTATATAGCGCTTTTAACAATACAGATTGTGACAAAGCAACTGAACAGCATTAAATAGGAAAATAGTGTCAATAATGCAAAATGACAATGGTAAACACTAATTTTTCAGTTAAAGACATTTCATCATTGAATTCAGTGATGTCAACATCCAGCTCAGTTTAAAGAATATCTTTGCAATCATGTCAACGATAACGCTGGAAATGAAGTGTCCCCAACTAAGCAAGCCAGAGGCGACAGCGGCAAGGAACCAAAACTCCATCAGTGACAGAATGGAGAAAAAACCTTGGGAGAAACCAGGCTCGTGCATACGTACACTTTTAGGATGAAATCTACAGAGAGTTATAAATGAGAGCCCTGTTGTTTTGCAATAAGTATGAGCAATTTTTGTGAATAAGCTTCAGGGAGACAAAAGTTTGGGGTCGGTAAGCCTCATATGGTCACCAAGGCTACATTTATGTGATTACAAATACAGTAAAAACAGGAATATTGTGAAATATTATTCCAAATTCAAATAGCTGTTTTAATATATTTAAAAATGTAATTTATTCCTGTGATGCAAAGTCGAATTTTCAGAATCAGTACATATATAGTACATGCAATATATTTTCATCGATTCATCTATTTTCAGGATTCTTTGATGAATAGAAAGTTTAAAAAAATACATCTTTGAAACCTTACAAATGTCTTTATTGTCACTTTTGATCCACTTAATGTATCCTTGCTGAATACAAGTATTAATTTCTTTAAAAAATCATACTGATCCCATACTTGTAGTCCATCTGTAGTGACCCGTCTAACTGCCTACAAAAATCTACTACAGCTCCTGTGCTGGAAACAGGCTGGTTTTAGGACTGCAGTACCTCTGACATAAATATTGCATATTTGTGGACCGAGACAAATGAACAGGAAGAAACACAGAGGAAGAAGAAGAAAAAAGAGATGAATTTGGAACAGCAAAAGCTGTGACAGTCACATTTGATCAAATCCTCCTGATTGTTCAAAGAGCCATGCAGTACAGTGTTTACCTCTGCGGCTTCTTTACCTGTGAATTGAGCTGCACTGCTGCATGCAGATGGGAACGAGAGCGTGAGGGAGGGGGTGCTGCAGCACTTTAAAGAGGTTAGTGTAAAGACGACGAAGGGACACATTTACGCTGCTCTTTTTGATAAGTTTAAGCAGCTGTCTGTTGGTAGCAGTCCTGTCCTAAACCGAGAAGAATTCCAAACCAACTCCTCATGCAGTCAATTCCTTTCTTCTTTCTCCCACAGAGAGAAAGACATCGAGCACTTTCTGGAGACCAGCAGAAATAAATTTATCGGATTCACCTTGGGAAAGTGAGTGTCTCATCAATTCTCCCAGGTTCTGAATCTACGAGAAACGATAATAAAGGTCACCTTCATTATCATTAATTCAGTATACTCTGCTGTTTCTGGTTCACACTGTATTTTCTTTCTTTCTAATGTTTTACAGTGACACTGACACTTTGGTTGGGTTACCCAGGCCCATACATGAGAGTGTGAAGACTTTGAAACAGGTAAGCATGGAAACATTTTTGTTTTCTAATATTCTAGCATTCTTCGACACAGCTGGAAGAGTAAAAAAATATTCGAACATCATATGCATGAATACTAAATGCTAAAGAATTCTCTCCTGCTTCAAATATTTTGCCCTTTTATTGACATACAATAAGTTGATTACTGTATATATCTGTTGGATTTAGCAGCTGTTGTGCCACAGATATGCATTGACGGGAATCCAGTGGTCTAATGCATGCTCTATTGGGGCTCTTTCAGCCATTCACAGTTTAGATATCTGTTCTCGGTTACCATGGCAATTCTCTCTCTCTCTCTCTCTCTCTCACTCCTTCTCTCTCAAGCACAAGTATGTCTCCGTAGCGGAGGTCCAGATCAAGAGAGAGGAGGAGCTGCAGCAGTGTCCCATGACTATGGTAAGTGACTCAACTTTGCTGTTCTTTGCTGTATTATTGGTTCATTAAGCTGTCAGTCAGAATCACCTCTTTTGATTGGCCAGGGGGAGGAGGAGGTGGAGGAAATACCTGCAGAGATTCTATATTTGGGAATGTTGCCTAGTCTCTCTCAGTATGTAGTAAGTGTCTCCTACACGTCATCTTTTTACACATCCAGATACTTGGGAATATAGCTCATGCTTTCCAGAAAAATCTGTCTTATAATATTTCACAGCAAACACTATTGGCCTATTTTGCGTGTTGTTTTAGATTAGTGCAAAAAAAAACATCCAAAATAAAATTAAGTGTTTATTTTATTGCGCTTCTTCTGTTTGTATCTGTAGATTTTAATTACAATACATTTTTTATAAGGCCGTAACCATAAACATAGTGAAAATATTTATATTTTTCCAGCTGTTGACCAGGGTTATTATAATGAACTAAAACTGAAACTAAAATTAAAACCATAAGAAATATTTTCATTACTTGAATAAAATAATCATGAACTGAAATTATAATTTTTTATAATAAAAAATTAAATATATATATTTAAATATATCTATATATTTATATGTATTTTGTATCCAAAGCAACATTCTAAAACTAAAACTGAAATAAAAATAGACATATTTCAAATAAAACTACTAAAAATGCCACAAGCACACAACAAATTAAAATAAGAAGGAAAGTATAAAAATAAAAACTGATTCAAAATATTAATAAAAACAAATGGTATCTCAATGATACCTAAATAGCACTACTGTTGATTTTCTGCTTTATGTAATGATAAAAAGAGATATCCAACATCCCCTCTGTGAAAATCTTTCTTTAATGTGTCAGCAAAATTAAACAAGAATTTTGAACCTGTCTTTATCCAATATTCAGATTTCTGTTCTGGAAATCTATGCAAATTAGTGCACATATTTCATTAGACAGTGCTTCATTTGCATATTTAAACATAACATTCTAGCAAACTTGTAATGCAAAAAAGAGAGAAATGTTTGCAATTCCTAATGTCATCAATCAACTTAACTTGGGAAATGTTTCTCTAAAATTTTTTTACTTACCATAATTATCTGTGGTGTCTTGCCTTAATTCTAAATACTAATACTTTATGGTGTAGTGGTTAATGCATGCATCTCTTCAGACAAACCTGGTGGGAGTGTTGCACTAATGTTAGTCTCTTTGTAGATTGCTCTATTGAAGCTCCTCCTGGCTGCAGCTCCAACCTCCAAAGCAAAGACAGACTCTATCAACATCCTAGCTGACGTTCTGCCGGAGGAGATGCCGTAAGTCTAAGCACAAATACAGCAGAGACTCTGCACTTGATGTGTGCATGGCGCATGAAAAGATCAGTGCGCTTTGTTTCAGATGCACAGCACACATTTCCCATGTTTGTGTTGGAAACAGAATCACCGTCCTGCAGAGCATGAAGCTGGGCATTGATGTGAACAGACACAAGGAGATTATCGTCAAAGCGATTGCAGCTGTCCTGCTACTGCTGCTCAAACACTTCAAACTCAACCACATATTCCAGGTCAGACTTTTTATTTGCCATTCCTCTCTCTGCTCGTGTCTCTCTGATGTCTTCGGCTGAACTGACCCTGCGCTCTGCTCTCACTGTCAAAGCACCATTTCTTTACCAGACAACGAAAGAGAGAGAGCCAGGGAGAGACAACGATGAGACAAGCACTTAAACTAAAAAAGGATACTCTAAATACATAAAAAAAAATCTAATTAATTCATATTTCAAATTAAAGAGGGGATTTAGAGACTATTTTCTACAGCTGGACTGGATTCACTGAGCCAGAAATCTCTACTTCAGAAGTGCTTACATTCACCAAATAGTTTTTTCTTATTTATATTCTGAAGATTTATGGGTCAAAGACAAAAAGGGGTTCAAGCATCAACATAATGGTTTCCTTTTTTTTTTAACAGACAACACCCAGTAAAATATCACAATAGAATAACAAAAAACTTTGTCAGGCATATTTCAGAACAAGAATCATTAGATGATATTTAAAGGATCACACTGAAGCCCCCAAATACTAATTAATTGTCATTTTAAATCTTATCCAACCTTTTTCACTATCCATCAAACCACTAAGTTTTACCCATTTGTGAGCAAAAAGTTTTTTTAACATTTAAAATATAATCAAATTTAGTATGATGGCTTTTACAGGATAAGTATGATGTTTAATTTTTATATAAATATATCTGTTACGCTGTTTGTTCACATTTATTTGAATATGATTTTATATTCCTAAACACATGGTAAAAATATATTTTTTTCTGGCTGTTGACAGTATTTTCTGATTTATGAAGTGATAAAAATGAGATATCCATTCTTTAAAAACCTTTTGACAAACCTTGCATCGTTCAGAATTATGCATTGGATATCTAATGCATATTTAATTAGGTAATGCCTTGTTTGTATTTAAACATAACATTTTAGCAAACTTGACACGTTTGCAATTTGTTGCCTTGCCTCATACGCTGAAAAAATCTGAGAATTTCTCTCCTCCTACATCAAATTATTTTAAAATATTAGCAGAGGACGAGAACAAAATGTTCTAAAGCGTGATGTGCTTCATCTTGTCAGCACAGTTCAGACTAATCCTGTATGATGAGCGTGACAAATTCTGAAAAATGAACGTGGGTGTTTTTAAGCGGCGCCCTACTTAAAAAGTGGTTGTGTGGAGTTGATGTGTTAAAAATTAAATTAATTGATTTTTTTTCCCCGTAGCATCATGTGTTAAACAGGAGGGTGTCTATGTTGTCGAGAAAGCAGTGAGTCACCACTTTTTGTCCCCATGTAGCACTGCACATCACACAAAAGACCCCTGAGCAACACAATACACGCATTCAAAGTGTCCTTGGTGACCGTACCGTCACCCACACTAAGCATGTCGCTCACTAAATGGTGCTGGTTTTTAACACGTCATTTGATCTCCTTGTTACTTGCGTCATTCTCTTCTGAGATTAGCACTGTATGAAATGTTTGTGCTCTCTCCATCAAAACCGTGTCACAGATAGCACCTCAGTGTTTATTCATGCTTGTTTTACAGGGTTTATCTTGCAATATCATTTCTTCTTTTTTTTATTGTTTTGTATTAAACTAAGGTGCTGTGTAAATGAAACTACCTATGATGATCCATGCCAAATACAGCACCATCACATTTTTATATGTACACTGATTTGTTGTACTTGTACAGACTGCACTGTAAGTGAATGTGGAAAATTTATGTAAGAGTCTTTAATAAATTATAAAGAGAGTTAAATAATCATAACCTTGTGTAACATCTCTCTGTCTGCAGTTTTAGTTTTGTGTCATATTTCCTCACACGCTTGATGATCCACAAAGAGAGATGACTAAATTGTGAAGATTCAGTTTATCACAAGAGGTCGTTAAGTTTAACTTATTGTGACCGATTCCTTTAATGTAAATCTCTTAAATGGTCGGCATATAATAGGTGTTTTTCAGTTTCATGCCATCACATTTATTTCTCATGGATAAAATCAAAACTGACCATCGAGTCATATATATATATATAAACAATGCTAAAATTCAGCTTTGAAATCACAGGAATAAATTACATTTTAAAATATTAAAATAGAAAGCAGTTATTTTAAATATTAAAACTATTTCACAATTATTTTTTTTGCTGTATTTTGGATCAAATAAATGCAGGCTTGGTGAGCAGAAGAGAATTATTAAAAAAACATTACAAATCTTGCTGTCCAAAAACATATAGTGTAACGTATCTCAACTGCCTGCTTTTTTTCCTTGCCTTTAAATCTGCAGTTGTTCCTCCGCTCCTCTAGGCGGCGCCAGCGGCGTTCACCTTCAGTCCGACTCCTTCAGCTGCTTGACAACAAGACGCTTGATGACAGTCACAACAACACGTGCAGATGACAGCTATTAATATCAGTATAAAAACATGTTTTTCAGCTAATCATGAGATATCCATTCTTTAAAAACCTTTTGACAAACCTTGCATCGTTCAGAATTATGCATTGGATATCTAATGCATATTTAATTAGGTAATGCCTTGTTTGTATTTAAACATAACATTTTAGCAAACTTGACACGTTTGCAATTTGTTGCCTTGCCTCATACGCTGAAAAAATCTGAGAATTTCTCTCCTCCTACATCAAATTATTTTAAAATATTAGCAGAGGACGAGAACAAAATGTTCTAAAGCGTGATGTGCTTCATCTTGTCAGCACAGTTCAGACTAATCCTGTATGATGAGCGTGACAAATTCTGAAAAATGAACGTGGGTGTTTTTAAGCGGCGCCCTCTATTGGTGGAGATAAATAGCACTGCAGTGGGAACAGTTTTATAAGACATTTATTTTCATTTTACCCTTTGTCACACTTGACTTAAAGGTTCACTGAATAATCAGTTACTGAAGGCAGTCGCACGTATCTTTTCCCTCACTGTCCATTTCAATTACTCAATCACTCTCTCGCTCAGATTAAACAACAAGAACGAGCGTCAGCATTGCTGATCGGCTGACATATCCCGCCGAGCTGATGTACAGTTAATTCTGGGTAACAGGAGAGGCTCTGGGTTTCTCTTTGACAGAGTTTGCTCATTAACGTCTAAAGCCATGATAAACAGAGAGGAACTGGAAACCAATCACTCTTCAGTATGCATCTCAGTCTCGGCTGAGAGAAACGATGAATGTCTTGCTAATGAAAGCTTCAGCTCATCAGAGATAGATGGACGTTGGCATTAATTATAGATATTATGGGACAAACTGACTTCCTCTCTATGTAACGCCACTGGATTTATAATATAATAAAATGTGGTGTTGTTCAAATGCTGGAGCTTTTATGATTTGTATGAGTGATTTATGATCATGATGTCTTTTGTGTTTTGGACAGTTTGAATATGTGGCTCAGCACCTGGTGTTTGCCAATTGCATCCCGCTCATCCTCAAATTCTTCAACCAGAACATCATGTCTTACATCAGTGCCAAAAACAGGTAGAAATTTGGATATATGTTAATTCAAACCAACAAGTTTCAGTAAGTCTTTTAAACATACTGTGTTTTCTGATGGCAGCATTTGTGCCCTGGATTTCCCTCATTGTGTGGTTCATGAAATGCCTGAACTCACAGCTGAAAGCCTGGTAATGAGACAAAACACTACAATTTTGACAGTTTTTTTTTTTACTCCAGGCTTTATTTTATTGGTAATGTAGGTGACTGAAAAGAAAGAACCTATCATTTTTGTGGGTTGTTAAGATGCTGGATGTGTGTCTGTGTGTGCAAACAGGAAGCTGGTGACAGTAATCAGTTTTGCTGGCGTAATCTGTTCTCCTGCATCAACCTACTGAGGATCCTAAACAAAATTACCAAGTGGAAACACTCAAGAACTATGGTGAGAGAAAGAAAATGTTTATTTTAACGAATTGTAGATCAGGGATATTTTTGATGATTTTTTAAAATTTGTATTATTTAGTTTATTCAGTATTTCCACTGAGTTGTTTTTTTGTGGAGTGATTTTGTTGGATGAGATTGCAAGAAAGTAATTTAACCCTCTGAGGTCGATTAACGCGGATACGCGTTTTGAGGCATCTTCTCCTGATCACACCGAAAATAACTTAAATTACACTTTCAGTTTTGATCTTACAGATAAGAGCAATACATTAATCGAATCTGTAAAGGGTCTACTTTTATTTGTATACACACATAATAACAACAGAACTTTGTGCATTTATAAAATAAAGAAAACAAACAGGGTGTGCAGTCTGCCGCCTTGGTCTGCGTGATCTTTATTTAGAAACGCGTCATTAAAATCTGAAAAGAAAGAACCTATCATTTTTGTGGGTTGTTAAGATGCTGGATGTGTGTCTGTGTGTGCAAACAGGAAGCTGGTGACAGTAATCAGTTTTGCTGGCGTAATCTGTTCTCCTGCATCAACCTACTGAGGATCCTAAACAAAATTACCAAGTGGAAACACTCAAGAACTATGGTTAGAGAAAGAAAATGTCTATTTTAAAGAATGCCAGCATTATGCCATCTCGTTTATACATTAGGCCTTGTTCAAGAGAAGTATGACTGAATTCCTGTGCAAATGGTTTATATCCTATAATTACTACATAGTTTTGTTTTTATTTATTTATTTTTTTAATTATGGCTGCTGTGTTTTTCTACATTACCTTGCCTGTTTCTCTGTTTCAAAATACATATCAGTGTTTATGTGTGTATATATAGCTAATGATATCAATCAGTGGCATCTCTAATTGTTTAATGCAATCTGTTCATGTGGAGAAAATGAATTTTGTTTATACATCTGTTCATAAATTATTGAATTCTATTCTTTGAGGCAGTTCATGTATGAATGGATTTACATACAATTTTCAATGGTTTGTGTTGGGTCTCGTTCCTTTCCAGATGCTTGTGGTGTTCAAGTCTGCTCCTATCCTCAAGAGGGCGCTCAAGGTTAAACAGGCCATGATGCAGCTCTACGTCCTCAAACTTCTCAAGATACAGACCAAGTATCTGGGCCGCCAATGGAGAAAGAGTAACATGAAAACCATGTCTGCCATCTACCAGAAAGTCAGACATCGGCTCAATGACGACTGGGCGTATGGCAATGGTAAATATCGGGCGGGGGGGGCGGGGTTTAGTCAGGGTTGGGGGCAGAGCCTGTGAGAAAGACAGTCAACTTCAAGATCCTGTAGAAGGTGTACTGTAGGTTTAGCATCAGATTCAAATTTAGAATGTTTTTAAATTGAATTATTTCCTTGGTGAAGCATGGGTCATAAGCTGTGATTCAGAAGCTGCATCTTTTAAAGGTGCTGTATGTATTATTATTATTATTATTATTTTTACTGTACTTAAGCATAAAAATACTGTTATATGTTTGCAGATATTTAGGAAACATGCTTAGTTCACATACTTTTTTTTTTCTTAGAAAAACAACGCTACAGCCAGTTATTCTACTATGAAATGTATGTTGATGTTCTGTGTCAGAATGTCTGTTTTTGTTTTGGTCTGTTTGATTCCGCCCACTGCCAATTTACCCAATATTTTTTCAACACCCGAGTTGCCAGTTGGTGGAAAACACAGTATATTGGAGCCATGAAAGCCAGCAAATTAACTGGGTTAGAGATCGCAGATTCTAAAAAGCCTCAGAAACCATCTAAAAATCTCTATGACCAGATGGAATATTAAAACACTGATATATCAACTTACAGTGTAAGGCTTGTCGCCTTCCTTTGTAACTTGCACTCGTTCCTGTTCCATGTCCTCAATATGGCAACCCTCGTGAATGTCGAATCTGAGGAGGAGGAGGGGGCAAGAGAAACGACGCTCTCAAATATTTTGAATTTGTAATGCAGTACCCATTTCAACCACTAGCTGTCAATATTACATACTGCACCTTTAGAGGCTGCATTTAAAGACCAAATGTGACAGGCTTTTTGGAGGCTCCTTCAAATGCAGCCTCGAAATGCATCTTTCAATTCCCAGGCCATGAAAGATACAACAAATGGATCCCCACAGACTAACCATTTAACAATGTTTGGTTCGACCTTTTGTTCTCAGTGATCATGTGTTCACCCGCTAACCCATCGTGGAGTTCACGTCAGTGTTTGAAGGACTTTGTTGGATGAGATTGATTTACAGTAAGAAACAGTGGGATTTGAACGCAGATCTCCCAGATTCAAACACAAAGCTTTATCTCTTGAGCCACTGAGTCTGTGGAGTTGATGAGTGTATTGAGCAGGCCTTAACTGAGAGATTTGTTCTAAATTATAAATAGTACTTCTGGTGTTTGAACCAGGACTTTGATGCTTGAGATTGAAACCTTTAACCACTGAGCCGCAGAAGCTGAGATGTTGCACTGGTGTTGTTTTTTAGTTTTTTAGCTTAATGTAGGTTTAGGATGAATAAAATACAGTCAATGCATCTGTGGGATCTGAACACAACTGCATTGCAGCGTCATGAGTAAAAGTCTCATGTTTAACCATAGAATAGATTAAAGTAGATGGTTTACTATTGTTTTATCTTGTTTGTAGTGTAAATCTCATTTAACGTGATACAAAACTTGCTAGATTTGACCCAGTACTTTCACACCCAAAGGTGAACAAAATCCACTGTATCACAGAGACTGTTAAATTCACTGTTGTTTTTGGTCTTTTACATTAGCATTTATTATGATCAGCTGCAGCAGTGCAATTTACAAAAATCACCACAGGAGGGCAAAATAAATGGAAGTTTATTATACTCTATTGTAATTCACAAAAATCCTCACAGTATGTCTAATGAGTCTACTCTTAACCGAGTCTAATGAATGCCCTCCTGTGGAATTTTTTGTGCATTGAATTTGTATGCCATTGTTTGTGTGTGATTTTGTTGGTTAAGGCTAGAAGGGAGATAGCTGTGGCTACTGGGCATGCGCACATCAATATAGCGTAATTTTTGTCACACTGTACCACAATAATGACTATTTTGACATTATTGTAAGGGGTAGGTTTAGGGTTGGGTTAGGTGTAGACGTTAATAAAATACAACCTAATAGGTAGAAAATTAAATGTCATTGTTAGTTTACGGTCGGAGCTGTATCCCTTCTAGCCACAAACGATTTTGTTCTGTCCTCTTCTGCTAAAATAAGATGATACACAAAACACTGTGGTGATTATTATTGTGAATTACAGCGCTGCAAATGGAGTCAAATGAACTTCAGCAGGAACTTGTTCTGTTCTCTCTGTTCTTGTAATACATTTAAAAAAAAAAAAGATTTTTATACATGAAAAAAATCAAATGATCAAGACTAACGTTCAGAGGTGATCTTGGCACTAGTTGTTCCTCCGCTCCTCTAGGCGGCGCCAGCGGCGTTCACCTTCAGTCCGACTCCTTCAGCTGCTTGACAACAAGACGCTTGATGACAGTCACAACAACACGTGCAGATGACAGCTATTAATATCAGTATAAAAACATGTTTTTCAGCTAATCAGCAAATGAAACCGACACACGGTCCGAGTAAACGCTGGAACTGAGTGTCACGCGACTCACCTGTGAGTAACTTTATGCATGAAGCGAGTTTCTCTTGTTAAATGTCTTGCACGCGCTGTACAGCAAATGAATCGGTAGTTGTTGCGTTACGTTTATAATCTCTGACCGAGTCTCCAGATATTGATTATGCTGTTCTGGAGAAAATTATTTTTCTGTTCAGTTTAAATGATTTCATACGCAAGTAGCTTATTGCATTCTTCTGTGATGTCTTTTCAAAATGATGCCAAACTCAATCAGGTCTAATAACTTGTAAGCTCTATTCTTCTCCAAGAGGGTGAGAGCTGAAGAACATACCCATAATGAATTCTAATGTCAACAGCCAATCATAATTATTCTCACAATCTGTATGTGATTGAATTTTTCTCAGGCTTCTTAAAACACTGCCAAAAGAAAAAAAAGGACGCACTCCAGTGGCAACTTTTGTGAATAATATCACTACAAGTCAAGTCTAATAAATGCACTAAACCTCTGCAAGGGGGTGAGAGTACATAACACATTTCAGTATGAACAGCAAAGCTATTTGTGCTATGTTCTGTCCTCTCTTCTGTTAAAAATAATACATTTATTAGCAAGAAAGTTAGAAGACCTAAAATGATGATTTTTGTAAATTACACCACTGCAAATCGAGTCTGATGTCTTTAAACAGCCCCCGTATGGTGATATTCCTTCTCCTTCATGTGGAGAATTGTGTCAAATGCTTTATTTGACCTGGTTTTGCCTGGGGAAACAACAACAGGAGCCTGAGCCTGAGTGTGGAAGTGCCAAGTTATATATAATTAACACAAAGTGCTTATTTTTCATTATAAAATAACATATTTAGTGTTTATATAAACCGAATGATTCTCTTACATTGTTGTGTCCTACCTCTTGATTTGTAAAAAAAAAAAAAAAGATAATATAATATATATATTAAAAACATTAAATAAATGCAAGATAGAGGAACATAAGCTGGCGCCCTCCTGTGGTGAATTACGTGAGGTGCACTGAAGCAACTGTTTTGTTCGCCTGCAACTCGAGAAAACCTTTTATTAAATTATTTTGCATTGATTTAAATTTAAAATATTGATTATTCTGTGTATCAAAACATTTTTAATATTTAAAAATATCTCTGCTAACGGAGTAAAATAAAGATAAACGTGATGTTTTTATTTCCAGGCGCCCTCCCGTGGTGAACTGTGTGTATTACTGATGCAACTTATTTGTCAATTAGATAACTCGAGTCAGAGGAAACCTTTGTGTTTCAATTATTTAGCACTGATTAAACATTAAACTCTATAAAAAATTATTACAACATGCATTGCATGTTGTCAAACGTACGAATTGTGTGAATTACAATTTTTTATTTTATTTTACAGGCTATCCAGCCTGAATCGTGCACAGATTTAAAATGTGGTCATTTTCAGTATTTGGTTGGACTGCAAAACATTCAGATTTTAATCAGAATTTCATTATTTATATAACTGGATGCCACTTAATTAAACATGTTGCTCTCATGAGGTAGCCTATATTGGCAACAATACAGTAAACGGCTGTTTAAAACGAACTGTAGTGTGTGTATGTGTATGTGTGTAACTACATTTGTAGTATTTATTTTCACAATGCAGCATGCAATATCCTAGTATTCATATCTTGCAAATGTAATGTAAATAGGATGTAAAAAGGAACAATGACAATGCATGTGTCGATGTAGCCCAGCTGTGCTATTTTAAATAGAGAAGACCTTACCTTGCTTATACCTTACCTTTATTGGCTTAAACCTCAATGGTAATGATAATGTATTTGTATCTTTCTGGAAGCCTCCACGTTTGTATGAGGTCATACACCTTTATAGCAAAATTAATGTTAGGAAATGTATGAAGTTTTTCAAGTTAAAACAAGTAAAATTAAAGTACAACATCTTTCCAATTTTCTTAGTTAAATGGAGCACTATTCTGGAATATTATTAGCTAACCTTTTCAAACTATTGCATCTCGACCCTTTTAAATGCACACAGATCTTACTTGAGCATTCTTATGGCACCGCATGCAAACCTTTGTAAGCTGAATTTTAATGTTTATGAGTTCAGCTGTTACAAGCAGTCTCAGTCTTCTTCCGTTTGCCATTTGTTCAGTCCTTTATGTACATTGTAAGAAAAGCAAAAACCAAGACAAATGTATGTGCCAAACCGTGATTTGCATTGGTTTGCCTTAAAACCTATAGTAGCCTACTGAGGGAAAACAGATGCTGATTAAAATGTGATTAAAATTAGTTATTGAAAGACCGTATGAAGTACAGCACCATTTGTGGCAGAGAAACGTTATATAAATATATTTGAATTTTAAATATGAGACTTACTTTGTTGGTTTTTATGGGACTGCATCAAATAACAGCTTAGCAGATACAGTGTTACAAAATAAAGACGTTTTAAAACATTGGCAAAACATTTGTACAGTCACATTGTACTTTATGTTTCCATCCTCCAAAAGTTCCTTTAAGATGCTCCTTTGCATATTCTTTAAACACAAGGAGCAAGTTTGCAAGTCATTCATTGCTATTCTTAGCTTATTTGAATATAGTTAAATCAAGATTTGATTGCCAAATGTGTCGAACTTGCTCTTAAGACTTGTGAAAAAAAATTAAAATTCAGAGCCAGTGATATAAAACAATGCATTTAGCATTTTCATCTCTTTTGTTTACACTGATACCATACATTGCTTAAATTTATTCTTGTTCATTGATTCCAGCAGGTTTTAATATGTGCAATCATTACTTTTGCATTAACAAAAAACCTTGTAGTTAACTTAAGTTAACATGCTTTTCTCAGAGCGGTCCATTGGGTTATTGTGTGCAGATTTCTTTCTTACACTGTATGTGAATAACAGCTGGGGTCAGTCAGAGGAGGGAGGGAGGGGGTTGAAGCTGCTTTCTTTTAACAAAGGTCTCTTACACCTCTATGAACACACATTCACTCATTCTCAAGGACTGCATGACGAAGAGCCAGACGAGTCACAGCTAAAGGTTTTAACACCTTATTTTTTCCAGGTAATGTCTGATCATGATCTACTTTTAGCTTGTTGAATGGTGTCACCATAACACAATTGAAAAATAATCATGATTTTGAGTCTTTTTACGATGAAAGGGCATATGTATGTAATGAGAAATCATTTAAGATAATTTAGATAATTATATAACATGTAAAATATATACACGTCAAATTAAATACACTGAATGTATGAAGCCGTACTGTAGGTCTATAGCTGTAGGAGCTTTTTAAAAATAATTTGAATTAATGTAGTTTTGAAGAAAGTGGTCTTGCAAAAATGGTAAAAAAAAAAGCAAAACAAAACAATATAACCAATATTTTAAACCAGTTAAATGCAGTATATTCCATTTTTATTAAATCCTAAAGAATTGCACAGATATACATATACTAGTAAGATACATATAATAGTAAGAACAATTATACAATTTTGCTGTTTTTATGTGAGCATTCTGTTGAAGTTAAAACAACTTTTAAATCACAATTATCAGTGAGCATTATTAGTAGTTGCCGAATTTTTGTCGTTATTTTTCAGTTTTTGCTGCTTATTGATAACATTTGTTTCTTTTCAGTAACTATGCTGTACTTTTTGAGCTTCATTCTGCTTCTAGGTGAGAAACAGAAATACGATCACAATGTATTGTATACAAAAAAAATCAGGTTTTACTATCCTTGTGGGACGTTTGGACTTTACCTGGACCACAAATCCCACCGTTTAATGTGACTCCCCTCAACTTTTTGTGTTTTTCATACAGACAGTGTAGAAAATGCACTTGTCAGTAAAACCAGCGCGATCAGTGACGTCTCGGTGAGGTTGTTGGACGGTACTGATGCTTGTTCTGGAAGGGTCGAAATTTACAAGGACAGCGACTGGGGCACCATTTGTGATGAAGGGCTGGACGATGTCGAAGGCAACTTGGTCTGCTATGAGGCAGGCTGCGGTCCTCTCATATCCATACAGCCTAGTGCTTTCTTTAAAGAGGGTTCGGGATTGGTACTGACGGATGACCTAAACTGTTCTGGGAACGAGAGCTCGGTGCTCGACTGCAATTGGGGGAACCACACCAACGTGTGTAACCACACTGACATGTGTGACCACACCGACGTGTGTGACCACACGAAAGATGCTGGAGTCATCTGTGACTGTAGGTTACATTCATATTAGTATTCAAAATTCAATCCGTACATTATTCCAACACTCTTAGAAATAAAGGTTCCAAAAGGAGGGCTTTGTAGCATTTTGGGTTTCACGAAGAACCTTTCAGTGAACAGTTTGAGTGAAGAACATTTTAATAATCTAAAGGTTCTTCATGAAACCATTAATGCTAACAAAACAAAGGTTCCACAAAAGCTTGATGCCGTAGAAGAAGTGTTTTGAAGTTCCCCAAAGAACCGTCCTTAACAATAATTGTATAAGTTACATTTTCATAATGTGTAGAAAATCTCAAAAATCTAAAGAACTTTCCACTTTAAAGAACCTTTTGTGCAAAGCGAAGGGTCCATGGATGTTAAAGGTTCTTTGTGGAACTATAGCATTCAATAAAGAGCCTTTAACTTTTTTTTACAGTGAAAAGGAATGTTTATTCTTAAGAGTGAAAGAACTTATGGAATTTTTTATTTAGCCACCCTTAGGCTACAAGGTGGCAGCGGCATGTGTTCTGGGAGAGTGGAGATTTTCCACGACAGACAGTGGGGAACGGTCTGCGGCACCACCTGGGATCTTTTGGACTCAGAGGTGGTGTGTAAAGAACGTGGCTGTGGAAGCCCAGTAGCTTCATACTACAATGCTTATTTCGGGAAGGGAGCAGGTCCAGTATGGATGGATGGCGTCAGCTGCACTGGTCGTGAGAGTTTGCTGAAAGATTGTGTGTTTAGCGGTTGGGGAGTGACCACTTGCACTCATGCGAATGATGCTGGAGTCACTTGCTCAGGTAAGTACGATCACCTGAACCTGAAATAATAGCAAAGAAATAAACTGGGTATGTTTACATGCACTAATTTCTGTCAATCTGAATGAATCCAATCCAATTTCAGATTCTGAAAGTTCTGTTTACACATTGTAAAACCCAATGGTAACTTAAAGGTGCTGTGTGTCATTTTTTGACTGTGCTAAAGCATAAAAATACCATGTGTTTGCAGGCATTTAGGAACTTTAAGTTCACATACATGTTACTCCGAAAAACAATGCTACAATCAGTAATTCTACTTTTAAGATATGCGTTCCGTGTCAGAATGTCTGTTTTTGTTTTGGTCTGTGTGATTCCACCCACTGCCAATTTACCCAATAGTATTTCGGCACCCTGGGTTGCCAGTTGGTGGAAAATACAACTTTTGCAGCCATGGAAGCCATGCAAATGAACTGAGTCAGAGATCACTGATTCTACCCAACCTAAAAAGCCTCGACATCCAGAGGCATACTCAACAACTTTCAGTGCAAGACTTGTCGCCTTCCATTGTCAATTGCACTTGGTCCTTTTGCATGTCCTAATCTGGCAACCCGCGTGAGCATCGAGTCTGAGGACTGCAGTACACATTTCAAGCGCTAGCTGTCAATATTACATCCTGCACCTTTCAACCGTTTTAGGAAACCGATTAGAGAGTATAAAAACGAAACTATTGTAAGCTATAATAAACTATAGTAATCCATAAATCAATGTACACATTTTGTGTAATTTCAACATTTACTCTAACAGTCTGAAACAAAGCATGCTGCGAAAATAAAATCTGCTGAAATTCATTTAGTTTAAGTTCAGCTTAATGTAATCAGTTGAGTTAATGTAACTTTAAGTAATATTTAAGTAAAATTAACATTTCATTTAGTACTAAACTTGACAATTAGGTTTTTACAGTGATATGAACCCTAAACGTTGCAATCGGATTCTCATTTTTGTTTACATGTGAAATTATTGTACTCTGAACAAAACTTCAGCCAAAGAAAACCATGCTATAATGCCACCGGAGTTAGTGCAAGTATAACTGCCATTTTTGCCTTCATGACATATACCAAAAATTAACCTAAATACCTAATTTTTAAATAAAATATTTAGTAAATATTTAGTCTGTTCCACTGACCAATCCGTAAGACGTGAATAAGTATACATACATTTGAAAAAATTAAAATACATTTAAATGTATTTTAAAAAGTCAAAACATATGCATCATGGCATGTGCGCAAGGTATTTTTGAATCTGATTGAGGTAATCGCATTCAAGCATTTACATGCTTTGTTTTTTTTCTCTTACTAATCAGATTATTTCAGGTCTACACCACCCCTTTCAATTCAATAGAAATTGAATTTAAGGCGTTTAATTCAATTGATGGCTCAATAGCTCAATCCGAAAATGTATTTAATCGAGTTCAATTGGACTGATTGAGGTGTTTACATGAAAGCTTTTGAATTAGACTGATGGCTCAATAGCTCAATCCAAAATTTAATTTGCATCAAGCTCAGTTGGACTGATTGAGGTGTTCAAGGCTTTTCAATCTGACCAATGGCTTAATCAGACTAAAAAAAGCCTACATGTAAACACCTCAACTGATCCAATTGAGCTTAATCCGAATGAAGTTTTGGATCTGTAAGTTCCAGAAGTTACTGTAAGCATGTGTTGATGGAGTGTTTTTACAAATGTTCTCCTTTCTCTTCTTTAGAGTTTATGCTTGTAGATGGACCAAACACTTGCTCCGGGAGGGTGGAGGTCCTCTATGAACATTTGGGGTGGGGAACCATTTCAGACGACGACTGGAATGTGTTGGGTGGAGATGTGATCTGCAAACAGATGGGTTGTGGAAGTGCACTGAGAGTCAATGGTGGATCTGCTTTTGGGAAGGGTTCAGGTACGGAATGGATGTATGATACCGCATGCACGGGAACTGAAATCTCCCTGAAAAAATGTCTTTCAGGCTATGAGAAAAAGAGTTCGCACAACAATGATGCAGGAGTGGTCTGCAGAGGTAAGTGTGAGCGACAAACAGAAAACTGCAATGATTACGTCAAGACGGCACGTCAAGTGCAATGTGAATTCATCAGAATATTTCTCCTTTCAGAGGTGAAACTGGTAAACGGCCAAACATTTTGTTCTGGCACTGTGCAAGTTCGTTATACTGGAGATTGGGGCACAATATGTCACTACAACTGGGATCTACCGGATGGTATTGTGTTGTGCCGAGAACTCGGCTGTGGTCCTCTTATAGGGACTAATGCGTCAGCTGCTTTTGGGAGTGGTACAGGAAATATTCTGATGGATAATGTTCTGTGTACTGGGAGTGAGTCCTCACTGAAGGAGTGCAGTCACTCTACGTCTGTAAACAGCCTCTGTACACATTCAAAGGATGCAGGAGTCGTCTGCGGAGGTAAATTCAAACAAAAAGAGGTCTGAATTTGACAAATGTACTTGTAAATATGATGCACATGCTTGCAAACATCTAGTTTTGTTCATGTTGAAAACAGCCTATTTCGGACACTGTAGCATTTCTATGACTTTCCCCAAAAAAATAAAAATATTGAGAGATTTATTAGGGAGATCAAAAGAGAGAAAGATGTCAAAACAATCACGCAGTACCGTTAACTAATCTTCTGTCATTTAATGCCAAGGTGGTAAGACACAAAGTATAGTGTTATATATGTGCATTACTTAAATGATTATTTTAAATTATAAAATTATAGTTTAATAAATTATATTATGATAGATGTACAATGTTAATAACTGAAACACATCATCACAGTCTGTGAAAAGGTTACATTGTCCAGAAAAAAGCAAAAAAAACATTTACATTTTCTGTGACAACATGCCCCTATAGTGTCCTACGTGGGAATTTGCCTTAATAAAATGTAATAAAATGTCATAAAATATAATCTTACAAAAAAAGATCAAACATAAAACAATTAATGCAAATATGTGAAAGGTGGCCAACAAATTGAAACGTACTCATTTATAAATTGTGCATATATAAACACGTGACAACCTGCTCTGACCTGAAATGTATACAGTACAGTATATATGTATATACCGTATATAGAGTTATTCTTACATGCATGTCATCTGAGATGTGGTCACTTACTCTGTCTCTCAGAAGTGAGATTGGTAGATGGAGACAGCATTTGTTCTGGAAGGGTGGAGGTTCTTAGAAACAACCAGTGGGGAACTGTTTGTGGAAACAGCTGGGACATGACTGACGCTGTAGTTGTCTGTAAAGAGCTGGGCTGTGGAAGTCCGGTAGAGGTAAACAAAGGTGCTTATGGAAGCGGTATTGGACCAATATGGATGGATGATGTGAAATGTACAGGCTCTGAGTCCACGTTGAAGGACTGCAGGTCAAACGGATGGGGAGTACACAACTGTGAGCACACAAACGATGCAGGGGTCGTCTGCCAAGGTGAACTTCCTGACAGCATTTTCTTACTTTACACGTATATATGTTTCCAAAATATATATCCATGTATGACTTTATCATTTTAATTAGGCTGTTTTAATTTTACTCTGACAATTATTCAATATTATAAATTGCAACTAGATTTGGTGCAATTCATAACATACAACTTCTATAGACCCCCTTAGTAAACGTCCATAACAAGAAAATTGTCATTCAAAAAAATCCACAAAATACACTAGGGCTGCACGATTTGGTGGGGGAAATTAAATTGTGACTTCACTAATAAAAATTGCGATTTATTTTATTTTTTTATGGCTGCACAATTTGGCCAATTTTTTTTGATTATATATCAATATGACTATACAAAGAAGAAAAATAAAGAAATATAAGAAATGACAAGAATAAGAAATATCACTATTGTGATCAGGGTTATTATAGTTAGCTAAAAGTAAAACCTTAAAAAAACGTACATTACGTGAAATGAACTTTAACTGAAATAAAAAACTTCTAATTACTTTATTTCAGTTAGTTGCCAAAGCAACATTTTTCATTTTCATTTCGTTTAACTTCAGTTTACATAAAATAACTAACACTACAACTGAAATAAAAAATAATAAAAAATATGCAGGCATTCAAAAAAAGAAAGAAAGAAAAGAACAAAAATGACAATTTAACTTTGATTGACAGAAATTGTAAAAATAAAAACTAATTATATATTAATATTATTATTGTTATTAGTAGTAGTAGTAGCTATTATAATAATATCTCAGTGATAAAATAACTCTTATTGTAATATTTAAATGTAAAGAAAATAATAACAATAATAATACATTTGAAAACAATTATGAGCTGCTTATGCGTAAATGAACACAGTGCAGTGCTTCATTTTGAAACACCCAGCACATATGTTTATTTATTTAAATCGCAGCCTTTGTGATTTGATAATTGCACCAAGCCATATCGCAATTTTGGTTTTATTTTGATGAATCACGCAGCCCTACTGGGTATTATTACAATTACAATCAGTCATTAAATTCCATTACAAATACATTGAATTATCATTGTCTGTATGCATAGAGACGGATCAGGAACTCTTCTGACTTCTTTCTAGAGGTGCGATTGGTGAACACGAACAACAAGTGTCAGGGCACAGTGCAGGTGTATCATGACGGCCGGTGGGGAACAGTGTGCCACAACAGCTGGGATATCGCAGATGGTTTAGTGCTCTGTAGAGAGCTGGGCTGTGGTGGGAACGCACAGCCCTTGGCAAGTGCCTATTTTGGGCCCAGTGATGGGCTGATATGGATGGATTCACTCAGATGCAAAGGTGACGAGTCAAACCTGAGGAAATGCCAGTTTGGTGGGTGGGGAAACCATAAATGCATTCATGCATATGATGCAGGAATCATCTGCAGAGGTGCGTCCATGTCCAAACCCATACAGTACATCAGTCCTCTATGGAAGCTTGTTTGTTTTTCTCACAATTCTCACAGTTTATCTCACATTTCAGATTTTTTCCCCCTGAAATTCTGAAGAAAAAAGTCTGAATTACTAGATATAAACTCTGAATCATGAGCTGCTCACGTATAAATGAACACAGTGCCTCGCTTCACTCTGAAACACCTTTGCAATCTGATAAATACAATTCTGAATTTCCATATCTTGCTATTCTGAGAAAAAAGTCAGAACTTTGGGATAAAAAGTTGCAAGTACCTTTTTTATTGTTTTTTTTTCTGTGGCGGAAAACAACAACAACAAAAAAACAGTGAAATGTAAATTCAGAATTCCGAAGAAAAATGTTAGAATTGCTGGATATAATCTCGGAAATGCGATAAAAGGCAGAATTCTGAGTTCATATTTCACAATTCTGATTTGTTTTTGTTTTTTGCAAGAATTGTGAGAAAAAAAAATCTGAATTGTGAGATAAAAAGTCACAATTACAAAAAAAAAAGTATAATCCTGAGGAAAAAAGACAGTATTGCAAAGAAGTAAACTCGGAATTGCGAGAAAAGGGCAGAATTCTGAGTTTATATCTTGCATTCCTTGACTTTTTTTCTTAGAATTCTGAGGTTACATTTTGCAATTTTGTTCAGTGGAAAAGTCTGATTTGTGAAATAAAAAGAAATACAGAAATGACCTTTTATTATTTAGGCTTCCATAGTTCTCTGCATTTGCAGATATTAACCAGAAAACTATTTCTATGCAAACATAAAATGATAAACAAAAACAATATCACATAATAAAATAGGCTACTTAGCTGTAGTTATATGATACAACAAATGCAAAAAAAGTGGTTCGGTTATCTTGATTGAAATCAGTACATGATTTTATCACCATATCATATTGCTATAAACAATATCTGTCTTTTACAGAAATTAAAAATGTGCTCAGGATTGAGGTGAACGCTGACTCTGGCGCAAACCCCAACGACCCTTCATACATGACAAAACTACTGGACAAAGTAACAAATATTTCTAATTCAATTCAATTTTTCTTTGTATGTCTATTCTTGCCATTGAGTGTCTGTGGTCTCATTCATCTGAACTGCACAGATCCAGGAAGAGCTCAAAAACTCCGGAAACTTCGCTGTCAAGTGGAGAACTCAGTTGAATGGGCAGGTGTTTCAGGAAAAGAAATTATTTGATCCCTGACAGGTTTGTAAACTCTTTCTGAATGGGCTTATTTTAAAGATGGAACTTGAATATAGAAATTCAGATCTTCATTCAAACTGTTGCAGGTCTATTTGAAAAGGAGCCATAGAAGAAATGACTTTTCATGACAAATTCAACAGAACAACTGCTCTTGTAGAATCATCCTGATGATGAAGAAATTCTAGAAGTGTTGATAAACTAAAAAGGTTTAATATATTTCACAGCATATGAAATGAAGCATACTGTGTTACAGCAGGTCAGCGTTAGTGAAGGTTTTGAATCATTTCGAGTGCATTGATACTTCTGTGTCACTGACCATTGTTTTATTACTTTCATTGGTTGGAGGTGAAAGGAAAATCAAAATGTAAAACTGATTTTCTTTACGTGTTAAATGTTTATTTGCTTTCTGATTTAATATATTTCTTATATTTATACACCAACCTTCTAAAATAAGTCAGATAATTTGCTTAACTGTGTATTCATTTATATGGTGTTACATACACAAACAAATGTTTCCAGAATAAAGCAGATTAATCAATTCTTGTTTTTGAAAATTCTAGTAAATAAATAAATAAATAAATGAATATAAATATAAATAAATACAATTCTAAGTTATTCTACTTTGTTCTTCATCCTGAATTTGCACCAGTACATTATATACACATTTATTTTCCATATATACAGTATTTTCAGTATTGTAGAGTGAAGCAACAGAAAGATTAGCATTATGTCGTTATAATTAGGATTTGACGGTGTGCAATAGGTGCTCATACACCCCAAAATTCTGCTGCTTGCACATGCACAGCTCTTAGTAGCGGTTATAAATATTATAAACATTAATATATGTCATAGGCTTTATACAATAAATATTATATATAATACTATAAGGTGAGCCACATGACTTCTCCCCTGCTTTCACACACACACACACAAACAAACACACACACACAAACACACACACACACACACACACACACACACACACACACACACACACAATGCACCAGTACATTATATACACATTTATTTTCCATATATACAGTATTTTCAGTATTGTAGAGTGAAGCAACAGAAAGATTAGCATTATGTCGTTATAATTAGGATTTGACGGTGTGCAATAGGTGCTCATACACCCCAAAATTCTGCTGCTTGCACATGCACAGCTCTTAGTAGCGGTTATAAATATTATAAACATTAATATATGTCATAGGCTTTATACAATAAATATTACGCACGCACTATAAGGTGAGCCACATGACTTCTCCCCTGCTTTCACACACACACACACACACAAACAAACAAACACACACACACACATACACAAGCCTACCTCTCAGAAGCGCGTGACGGGCTTTAAAACTAATTTGTCATCAATAGCAGCAAAAGTCGTCATCTTTTGTATTCCTGTACAGACAGTTTAATTCGCTTTGAAGGCAGTTTTGGATGTACTTCAGGGTGTTTTGCATGCAGACTGCTGATGCCGCTCTAAGGTAGAGGCGAGGGAAGGCAGTAGCGTCACTAGGAAAGTTAATTTAGATTTATATTCAGAAATAAAATCTTTCTCCTTGCTGTCCTGACTGTGCAGCTGCCTAGTTTAGCTGCTTTAGTTCTTTAGCCCTGTCTGTGAATATAACAGGTTTATGATTAAAATCAATAATGCATATATATTTACACACATTTTAAAAAAGAGACTCCAACACCTCTCAGTTTACAAACCTGTGGCTGTTCTCTGCTGGTGGAATACCTGCTCATCAGGATGTGTTCTCCAGTTCACACTATACTTCCCTTTACTTTCAACCACATGCCTCATCTGTGAAATTCAGTGAAATTGTAGAAAGAAAACACTCAAGCTAGAGTAATTACACATATTGAGCACACTTTTTGTCCTTTCACTTTATCAAAAGGTTAAAACTTCATCCATTTTATCTATCTATCTATCTATCTATCTATCTATCTATCTATCTATCTATCTATCTATCTATCTATCTATCTATCTATCTATCTATCTATCATTGCACAGATTGTTTGATAAAAGTTAACATGAATCTTACCATATCCAGAAGCTTATTCTTGATATCTGGGTCATTGACGTTGACTCCAATCTCGGCCTTCACCACAATCTTTACCACAACTCGTCTCACAGTTGCTGTGAAGTGAAACATTGACAAGGAAGAATGATTTGTCATAATGACATCTTGTCATTGCATTTGTCAGGAAAACTGGGATGTGAATGACATTCTCAACCCTCATCTTGTGGTTAAAAACCAGGTATAACTTCTGTGTTAGGGGTCAAATTGACAATGGTTTTCAGGCAATCTGCCAAAAATACACTTATGGAAAATGCTACAGATTCATGTAAAAACACAAAACATCTATTGTGGCCTATCTGAGGAAAAATATAAAATTGGAAAGAAATTTAAAATTTTATTGTGTTAAAGGTCAAGTGTCAAGTAAAATTTCATAAGTTCTCATGTATTTCATATTTTAGTGTCTGACGAGTTAAAATAAAGGATTTTTTTAAAAACCTGACTCTTTAGTGTTTTTCAGAGTGTTGATTTTTTTCAAAATGCATGGAAACCACTGAGGGTCAATGGGGAGTCTATATGACCCCAATACAAAGATTTCCAAAATTTCCACCTATGATTTCCATCTATGTGTTGAACCTTTACATGCACATTCATGACCCTAAATGAGAAATATTCACCAAATTTCAAGAAGAAATAAATAGTTTAACCAGTATTTCTAGCAGTTTGAAAATCGAGTGTAGGTCAAATTGACCCCAACACAACAGGAAGATTAAGCTGTACATCATTTGAGAGGCTCACATGTAAGTTTAACTTACTTTGGCAAAAAACTCCCGCATTCAAACAACTGCTCACACCCCATCCGGTAAAAGGACAGTCCCGCACTGTAAACTCATTTCCTGTACAGGCCAGTTCATCCATCGATGTTTGCCCTGAAGTTTCCACATACTCTTTCAGCTCTGCAGTGTCTCCACAATCCAGCTCTTGACACAACACTGCAGAATCTGCTAGACTCCAGCCCGAGTGACACACTGCGCCCCACTGCTCATTATACCGAATCTGAACTCTGCCATCACACTCACTGGAACCATCGACCAGCTTCACATCTGTCGAAAGAGTTTTACATGTTAACACTTGCAATAATGATAATAAGCAATAATACTGTTAAAAGTCTGTACAGTTCACAGTCTGTACAGTTTACAGAAACTGATGTGCCATTTTTGAAAGAACTGTGCTTTCTTTTATTATAAATCTATTATCCCAGCATTATCAATTTTGAATTTGCATACATGTAAATTTGAGTTTTGACTAAACTAAACTAAGTTTATTGACTTAAAAGAATAGTTCACCAAAAATGAAAATTCTGCTATCTTGAAAGCAGTGGTAACACTTTATAATAAGATCCCATTAGTTAAAGTTAGTTATGAGCATATGTTTTTATAATATTTGTTAACCTTCAAATAAAAATACAACACTCTTTTGGTTCTCCAGAGAACCAATCAGTAAATAACCATTTTAATAATCTAAAGAACTTTTTTTCTGCTATAAAGAACCTTTTGTGGAATGTAAAGTTTCTGTAAATGTTAAAGGTTCTTAATAGGACCATCAATGCCAATAAAGAACCTTTATTTTTAAAAGTGAACTGTTCATTGTTAAGGTTGGGTATCGTTTGGGGGTTTTTTCGATACAGGTGCCAAATCGATGCATTTTAAAACAGTTTCGGTGCCTAAACGGTGCCTGAACCGATACTTATTAAAAAATATATATATAATAAATAAAAATTCCCCCCAAAAATGATGGATTGGCCATTAGCAATATAATAACAAAGTCTGTTTCATTCATACTGGACGCCAGAGGGCGCCCTTGCACAGAAAATCCACATATTCAGTCACAGACGTTAACTCATGACCCTCCAGGAAATCCCTTATATGGATAAATGCATTGCTATTATAGCTGTAACTGAGTAAATAGAACATATAAAAGTTTTGAATGATAAAACAAAGACAATAAACACTCGACTGCGACAATATAGTTTATCTGTGTTATTTAAGCCATCTCTGGTATTTTCATAATAATTAAGTATATTTATAATACACTCTAAAAAATGCTGGGTTAAATACAACCCAGTGCTGGGTAAAATTTTTATTTATTTGTATTTAACCCAGCATTTTTTAGAGTGTAGGGGGACCAGCATACGTAGCAAGTTTTTTTTGTTTGTTTGATTATTTTGTTTTTATAATAAATAAAAAGAAAACAAGTAGAAAGAATAGAAATAGAATAGGGAAAGCTAGTGTTAGAGGGTCATTTTTAAATAAAAATAAAACAATTCAATAGAACAGAAAAAGAACAGATAATGCTAGTGTTAGAAGGTCATTATTTATAATAAATAAAAAGAAAATAAGTGGAAAGAATAGAGAAAGAATAGAGAATGCTAGTGTTAGAGGCTCTTTTTTCTTTATAAATAAAACAAGTAGTTAGAATAGTAGAGTGAATCTAAACAAGTAAATAGAATAGAGAGTGTAAATGTTAGAGGGTCAAGTTTAATAATAAAAAAAACCAAGCAGATAAAATTAGAGGCAGCATTAGAATAGAGAGTGCTAGAGTTAGAGGGTGAAATGAAGATGAAAGAGATGTGTTTTCAGCCGTTTCTTGAAAGTATTAAGGACTGCTTGGATTGAGTTGGGCAGGTCATTCCACAGGGAACAGTTAATGTAGAAGTCCATGAAAGTTTTATCATAGGTAGAATGCAAAATGTTTCAATACAAGCATTTCAGTCAAATGTAATTTATGCAATATTTCAAACCTTTAACCCACTTGGGAAAATCAACCCATTGCAACAGTTTAAAAGCAGCCCAATTCTGTGGAAAAAACGCCGACTTGGCAATCCAACAAGAGCTATCAGAGTCAGCTTTGACTGATCACAGGTCGAGAATAAGGAGAGATGACTGACAAGACCATGCTGGAGTATTTGCTGCTCAACAGATTTTGAGCTCATTGACAAACATCTGATCTTGTAAGATGTGCTCCCTTTACACAGAATGCGTGAGATCGCGAAATCGAAAGTGAGAGTAAACAGCGCAAATGCTCATTCAAAAATATTGAAATACACCGCATCCTGAGAGCGGCTCCCTGATGCGCCAAAATTATACACAACATTAGAATATTTAAAGGGGTCATATGATGAAACAATAATGTACAGTATGTGGAAAATAATGTGTTTTTTTAACCTTAAACCGCATAAACACATTTCATTACACCAAATACACCAAATAATGTTCTTTTTAGCAGCATCATATGACCCCTTTAAAGGAGTGGACACGAAAATTGCGGGAGCGAAACACAAAAAAGTAACGCAAAAGTAACAATGCATTACTTTCCATAAAAAGTAACTAAGTACCGTAATTAGTTACTTTTTTATGGAGTAACGCAATATTGTAATGCATTACTTTTAAAAGTAACTTTCCCCAACACTGCTCCCTTTACACTGTGATCGCGAAATCGAAAGTGAAAGTAAACAGCGCAATTCAAAAATATTTGAATACACTGCATCCTGAGAGCGGCTCCCTGATGCGCCAAAATTATACACAATATTTGAATGTTTAAAGGAGTGGACACGAAAATCACAGGAGCGAAACACATGTTGCGGGAGCAGGCGGCAATGGTCAGAGATTCAGCAGAGTGGGATTAAGAAAACAGCCGAATCCGGGACATTTTGGGCAATTAAGAAATCCCGGCCGGACGCATTTTTGTAGGTCCAAAAAGAGGACATGTCCGGGGAAAAGAGGACGTATGGTCACCCTAATTTATAATCTATTGCTAATCGATGTATTCTTTTTAAAGTAGCATATGGAACATATTTTCTTCACTTAAAGAAAACTTACGAGTATACTTGCAGTATAAATCTACTAAACTAGTAGTTTACTGAGACTATACTTCAAAGTGTACTAAAATGCTACTACAAGTATTTAATTAGTAAACTATCAGTATACCTATAAGTTCACTTTTAGTATAGTTGCAGTACAAACTAAACATTTTGATGTAAACTAGTTGTGTACTCAAAGTTTACTACTGTTATACTTAAAGTATACTTAAAAGTATACTTTTATATACTAGAAAGTGGGTCAATTTAGTCCCAAGGAGTATTGAAATAGTACACTTACAAGTATACTACTAGTACACTGATATTTGTATACTTATTACATAAAGTATACTTAAAAATATACTTGAACTTTACTTAAGTATACTTACTAAAATAAACTTGAAGTATACTACTTTTTGGTAAGGGTTGTTGGACAACAGGTTTAGAAATGTGAATACAAGGGAGGTTTAGCTTTAGGCATTTTAATTTAAGCATGTTTAGCTTAGTTAACGGAAGGCTACCTGGGCCATCAGAGCAAGTGTAATTACTGCATTCACGCGCTCCTCGAATGCTCTCATTTCCTGAGTTGTGCTTTTAATTTGGGATGTGAAAACAACATGGACACGCTCGTTACTACAAAGATGTGTTGGATTTGTATTATTAGAGCTTTCCGACTTAAGTTCACGTGCATTTTCTCAGTCGGGAAATTATTTTTCACGTGCGGTGCCAGTGATGATGTTTCTTACGTCCGTTTCGGAGAACCAGAGGACAAATATTTCAATCGATCGCTCAGGCATGGCACCGAAATCTGCATTCTGATTCGGTTCTAGTACATACCGGTTACATAGTACCGGTGCTATATTGGTACCGGGTTTCGGTACCCAACTCTATTCATTGTTAGTTCATGTTAGCTGAGGATCATTAAATACTATTGACAGATACAACTTTAGATTTTTTAAATAGCCTAATGTTTTAGAAAATGTTGGAAGAGACATTAAGATGAAAAGATGGTAAGAAATATTTTCATTGTTAGTTACTATAGCACTTAACGTTAATGCAAGCTTATCATATTGTGTTACCAATGCAATGTGAGTCGCTTTGGATAAAAGCGTTTGGTCCAATTTTTTGGTCCTTCTCTGATCTTGAACTGTTGTTGGAAAAGATTATTTTATGTTTTACATAAAAACAACAGCATATGGTTTAGAATGACATGGGTAAATAATGAATAATAACATAATTAACATTTTTCTCTGAACTCTAGTTTCAAAACAACATGCCAAATGCATCCAAGATTTTTTAAACTCACTGTTACAGATGACTCCAGCGTCCTTTAAATGTTCACAGCTCTGTATTCCCCATTTTGTTGATGTACAGTTCACCAGTGAAGCCTCACTCCCAGTACACTGTGCATCATCTATCCATACTGGTCCTACACCTGGTCCAAAATAAGCAGCACTCTTTGCCTCAATCACTTTCCCACAATCCAGCTCTTTACATATGACTGCAGCGTCTGTTAGACCCCAGCCATTATCACACACTGTTCCCCACTGATCGTCATGAAGAACCTCCACTCGTCCAGAACAAGAGTTAGTGCCATTTACCAACCTTATAAAGGCTAACATTAAAAAAACAGAGAGTAAGGGATTAGAAAAGTTTGGTTCTATTCAGTATATGCAATATATATGTAGCTTTCATCCACCTTCACAGATGACTCCAGCATCTTCAGAATGCACACAGTTATGTGTTCCCCATCCAGGTGTCCCACAGAACATCAGTGAAGACTCACTGACAACACAATTTACATCATCCATCCATATCTGTCCTGAACCTTCTCCAAAATAAGCAAAACTCTTTGCCTCGATCGGATCCCCACAGCCCATCTCTCTACACACCACTGCAGCATCTGTTAGATCCCAGCCATCATCACACACTGTTCCCCATATTCCATTATAAAGAACCTCCACTCGTCCAGAACAAAATCCGATACCATTCATCAACCTCAGAAAAGCTTCGATTGGAGGTCCATTTCCAAAATCTGTATGAATTATAAAACATGTAATGGATGTGCTTATACTTCAATAAGTAATGAGTAATTCAAGAGTACTTTATGATGTAGAAACATAGAAAACAATGCCTGCATGATTCTTCATACCCAATATGAGAATGAGCCACAAAGAATTTAACATTGTGCCCTGAAAGAAATATAGAATTATTATTTTGACTGTGTTATGTCAGAAATCAGAAAAAAAGCAACTTCATTGTAAGTTTTTATTGTTTAAAAGTAGTTTTTGCACAAAATGTCTTTACATGTATTTTTTGCAACCAGAAACCATATTTTACCCTATTTGTATTGTGCATACTAATCCAGAGTTCAATTCCATAATTCAGTAACTACAAATTATGCAGTTCATTAAAAAAAGAGTGAGAGAGGGAAAGTTCAAGAGCTGGTAAGCAAACTAAATCAACTACACCAGAAATAATTACAAATACTGTCAGTATCTAATAAAATACTGTGTCTAATAAAAGCATACAGTGCAAAATACAGTACCTAATAAAATCTGTAAACTAAAGGCAATGATTTATTATTAGATTTCTTTAACCTGTTAATATGTCAGTCTCTTCAGAAGCGTCTTTGTCTCTGTGACGGCATGAGATCAAGTTAAGGAGGTTTCCAGGTGATTTTATTTAGATGTAGGATCAGCTGATGTCTTGGCTCCTCCCCTCAGATGACCTTACAAGACAACGATTAATGTCAGAAGGAAAGCTCTTACTATCAATCAGTCCATCTTTCAGAATGCAAACCCATTAAATGCTCTGAAAGTGCTTGATTAAATTGACAGACACGAAACCAAGAATACATTTCTTGTCTGTGATATATTGTTGGATCCACCATTGGATGTTTGAACAACATTTAACATGTTTTCATGATGTGATTTGATTTCAGTGCAAATCCACTCAAATGTGAACTATGGGAATGGGAAGTTAGTGGGAACCATACTCGTATAGCTGTTAAGAGAAGATCTGTCAGTATCACGAAACTCCCTTTACAAATTTGCAAAGACATGTAAACTACATGGGGGAAAAAATGTCAACATTCACGAACGCTAGAACTCTAGATTTGTTTGAGTTTACATGAACACACTGGCCATCCCATCACGCCAGTGAGGTTCTTATGCACGAGACAAAGTACTGAATTGGAATTTTCCATAGCCAAAATGTGAAGAAACGGTTTCTATTACATCTCAGAGTTAAACTTATATCTATGAGATGCAATAAAAACAGTTCCTTCACATTTCGGGTATGGAATATACATTAGGTTAACAACACATTCACACAACAAGTCAAAAAGCTCAGATATTTATGATCAAATATTGATGAGGAGATAAGCTTGTTGTCAGTAACTTCCAATAAGCTAATTTTATGTCCCTGTAAACAAATTACATTCTACAGAATTTCCCTTAAGAGGATTAGAATGGGAGGTTTGCATATTGTTCAGGTTGAAATAATAATTTGAATATGTGCAGCACTGTAGAATTAAGCAAAACATGTTTGAATTCCTAGATGTTTTGTTTATCAAATGTGGAGTTCAGTATTACTTACGTGGCAGATAAAAATTCACACGCATTTGTAAATTCACATTTTTATGAATCAGTTTTGATGGTGTTCAGGCGGAATAGTAGCTGTGGTCAAATAAGAGGAAAGCAGCCCACATAACTGGCACACGTCCAGTTTAACTAGACTACGTACCTAAATCCCATAAGAAGAAGCTACAGACGACCATCTAGCCAGGTATTACCTTAAAACATTTGCACATGCAATGACTGTTTTCTTATGCATTTAGCATACGTTTTGTTCAAGTGAGATTATAGGGGGTGTGTTTCAAATATTATTTATTTAAAACGGCATCAAACGTAAAATTGTGACACTTAAAAACTTCAAACTACTTTTTAAACATTCTCAAGTGGACATAAAATTGGTCTTGACAAACTTTTTAACTTACTTTTAATAATATTGTTTGTCTCTACACGGAGTCCATACTTGTAACTTTTTTATTTGAAATGCTTACTGCCTATTATATGAAATTCAACAATAAAATAAAAACACGATACATTAGTAGTACTATTGAAAATGCTTAAATACTACATTTCTTTTATGCTTTCATTCACGATTGCTAATAATAGAACCACACTGAATTTGCTTTAAAATGCATGTACATCTCTTTATAAATAAGAGCAGCAAGATGAAGCTAAAATGCTTTGTATTAAAAAAAACTAGAGCCGATAAACCAAAGAGTATTTCATATCTAATGCCATATGAAATTTATTTGCAGCCAATATGATGTGGTCCATGCAACTGTTTTTGCTTCTGGGTAAGGAGACCGATGCACTGACACAAAACTTTGTTGTTTATCTGTCGTTGTGCCAATAATATCTTTTGAATTAAGGGTTCATATAAAAATCAATGTGCGGCGATCTAACATGCAGGCTCCATAAATGTCACTACTGGAATCAGATTGGTCAATGGAGACTCTTGTTCTGGACAAGTAGAGGTTCTTTATAATGGAATATGGGGAACAGTGTGTGATGATGGCTGGGATCTAACAGACGCTGCAGTGGTGTGTAGAGAGATGGGCTGTGGGAATGCGATCGAGGCAAAGAGTGTTGCTTATTTTGGGCAAGGATCAGGACAAATATGGATGGATGATGTAAACTGTGATGGCACAGAGTCCTCACTGAAGAACTGTAAGACAAATGGATGGGGAACACATAACTGTGGACATCACGAAGATGCTGGAGTCATCTGCAACTGTGAGTCAAAAACAATCAAAAGAACTGAAGTATTAATATCGCACATTTTCTTTTTATGGAATGTACTAAATAAAAGAAATTAGTTTAAAAAAAAGTTTACTTTTTTTTCAAATGCCATGCCTTTTTTCCCAAAAGAAAAAGATTGTTAGGTACATAAATATATTTAAGACAAAAACTTTTTTTTTTTTAATATTATTTGTGTTGATAACAGCTGTCAGGTTGGTGAATGGCATCAACTCTTGTTCTGGAAGAGTGGAGGTTCTTCATAATGGAATATGGGGAACAGTGTGTGATGATGGCTGGGATCTAACAGACGCTGCAGTGGTGTGTAGAGAGATGGGCTGTGGGGATGTGATCGAGGTGAAGAGTGCTGCTTCTTTTGGCCAGGGATCAGGAACGATATGGATGGATGATGTACAATGTACTGGAAATGAATTTACCCTGAAAAGCTGTTCTTCAAATGGATGGGGAATACACAACTGTAACCATCAACACGATGCTGGAGTCATCTGCCAGTGTGAGTCAAAAATATTCAGAGAATTTAACATTTCTTTTAAAATAAATGCAATAGAATTGACATTATGTGTGGATAATAGCTGTCAGCTTGGTGAATGGAGACAACAAGTGCTCTGGACGAGTGGAGGTTCTCCGTGGCGGTCAGTGGGGAACAGTGTGTGATGATGGCTGGGATCTAACAGATGCTGCAGTGGTGTGTAGAGAGATGGGCTGTGGGAATGTGATTGAAGCAAAGAGTGAAGCTTATTTTGGACAAGGATCAGGACCAATATGGATGGATGATGTGAATTGCGCTGGCACGGAGTCCTCACTGATTAACTGTAGGACAAGTGGAATAAATGACTGTAGACATTTTGAAGATGCTGGAGTCATCTGCAGCTGTGAGTCAACAATTGACAAATTTAATATTGTACATTTTCTTTTTTAAGGTAACAAAAGAAATATTAAGAAAACGTCTTTCAAATGCCATATTTCATTGGCCTTTTTCAATTACAAGACATAGTAAGGTATACAAATGCATTACATATAACAACAACTTGTGTCTTTCTATTATTTGTGTGGATAATAGCTGTCAGGTTGGTGAATGGCAATGACTTTTGTTCTGGAAGAGTGGAGGTTCTTCATGACGGTCAGTGGGGAACAGTGTGTGATGATGGCTGGGATCTATCAGACGCTGCAGTGGTGTGTAGAGAGACGGGGTGTGGGGATGCTATAGAGGCAAAAAGTGCTGCTTATTTTGGCCAGGGATCAGGACCAATATGGATGGATGATGTACAATGTGCTGGGAATGAATCTACACTGAAAACCTGTTCATCAAATGGATGGGGAATACACAACTGTAACCATCCACAAGATGCTGGAGTCATCTGTAAACGTAAGTCAAAAGATTTGCCTTCCTGAGCAACTACCACATTTGAATTTTCAGCACATTTACACAAGGAGTGGCAGCAGATCAGTGTAATTTCAGCTGGAATGTATTACGTTTTAATTTCAGTCACACACATATGCAACATCTACACTATAAAGCAACTTCATCTAGCAAATCAAATTGTACAACAAAACACAAAACCTCCATGTTTCATGAATCCATAATTAATAGAAACATCATTACTGCTGCTGTACCTATAATGTAATGTGCAAAAATAGGTTACAGCTTAGGAAAACTCCCCATTATACTGTTGAATCGGTCCTTCATTCCTACATGTTTGTTATTGCTATGTTTAGGTTCGCTGAAAGGGTTCCTGCATTTACATCTTTAAAAATATTTTTTCAGAAATCAGGAAAAAGACAGTCATGAGGCTTAAATTTAATGTTGATCCAAAAACTGACCTAAATGACAAAAGAAAAAAGATGGAGATTTTGGAAAAGGTGAGCGCATGATAAAAGGTCACAGAGAACAATAACTCATGTCACACTGTAGCTGTGTATCTACTGTTATTTTTATTTAGTATATTTTTCCTTATTATTTTCACAGATAAAAGAGATATTGAAAGATTCTGGAACTTTTACCCTGCGATGGAGGACACAATCTAATGGAGAAGTGTTTCAGAAAGTTAGGAAAAATAATAAAAATCCTCTATATTGTGAGAAAAATGTATAAACCCTTTGTTTGCTGCTATATATTTGGATTAATGTGTGATAGCATATACATTGATACATTAATCACACAGCTTTCATGTTTGACTACAAGTAAATCTGACCCTACCATTAATTGTATGAAATTACTGATTTCCATACACAACACATACATTATCATTTAAAGGTGAATATATTTATTTATAGAAGTGACAACCGCATTTTACAAACAAACTAACCTGAAAAATTAAGATGGTGACAATATTTACATTTATAGTGGTGTGCATTTAAATTGAGTCTCTTACAAAAAATTATTTTAAACATGAATTTGCAACATGAACCTGTTTGTCCTGTTTGATGTGTTTACATGTAGTCCAATACACAACTGACATTTCAAAGCTTTAGGCAAAACTTTTTTCTGAATAAATAAGCACAAGGAAGTTTTACAATGGTCCCTGCTTTCCTTGTTCATGGTGTAACGAAATAAATCTATGGCACCTGGAAGATACAAAAAAAAAGAAAAAAAAGAATGAATGTAAGTAAACAGTATCCTTATGTCCAGCCTTCCTACCAAGTTCCGATCCCCACTGTTCCTAATTTCTGTAGTGAGGATCCTAAACAGTTTGTACGACTCAAAATTGCACTGGAGAATTTGCTACCTGCTTAGGCAACAGAACGATTTTAAATTCCAAATACTGATTGATCATCTGAAACAAGAGAATGCCTTGCTCATTGCAGAGTCATTTGTCAACAGCAACATCAACAGTTATCCATATAGCAACACTATGAGGTCTCTGACTGCACTTTATGGCCAACCACATCAACTCGCACTATAAAGAATTGCAGAATTGATGGATGGCCCAAAAATCGAGAGTGGCGACATTAAATCTTTCTGACTATATGCCCTTAAAGTGCTGGACCAACTTGGAGCGAAAGGACAGGTCAACTGCAAGCAGTAAAGTGCTTCTGAAGGTCAGCTGAGCTGTGCTCTTCAGATGTTCTCGGTTACAGACACAAACAACAAGAAAATTCTGTACCAACAATGGGAACATTTACAGAACCCTTGTGAGCCAGTATCGTTAGGCTTCTTAATTCCATTCACAACAAGATCCAAAATCAATATCCAAAGCAGGAATGGGATGACCCAGATCTTCCCAAAGATCTGCTCCAGGCCTGGTTACCCTGGCTGAGTGAACTGTCACAACTACCCTATTTCACGTTCCTAAGATGTTACACCATTGCAAATACTGACCAATCATGCCAGCCAACACACTATTCCTATATTGTGTGATGCATCAGAAAGTGCTTACGGATCAGTCGCATATCTCAGCACATGTGATAAACATGGCAAGACCCAAGTTTCATTCACTGCTGCACATAAGATCGAGACAACAGTCAAGCGACAACAGTCTATACCATGCCTCGAACTCTGCTGCCCTCACTGGCACTCAGCTGGCTGCAACTTTGAGAAAAGAACTGACCATCAAGATTGACCAAGAACTATACTGGACGGACTCCACATCTGTATTCACTTGGCTTCAGTCTGACTCATGCAACTACAAGGTGTTTGTCGGAACGTCTGGTTGAGATACAAGACCTTA